GAGAGAGGTGCAGTCTTTAACATGGTTGGGAAGGTCATTCCACAATCTGAGGGTCCTCACCTATAAATGAGGGTCAGACTCCCCATTGACACTTATGTTTACTTTTCAACATGATGCCAAAACGAGTTTGTAACGGAAATCTAATTACAGCACTGTAATTATCGTTACAGTAGTGTTGACGGGAGCAAGTGTTCCAGCCAGTCATCCGGTTTTATGTTCGTCATCCAGCTTAATGTTACAGTCATCCGGCTTGTGTTCCAGTCACCCCGGGGGGGGGGGCACATCAAAACTTACATAGTTTGTAGCGTTAAAACTTTTTTTGATCATCTGCGAGGGCAGCTGTTTCACGTTCAGCTGACGCCACAACTTGGTCAGCGTCACTTCTTATTTCTCTTAATCCCTCTTCTTAAATCATTTTCACATTTCTTACGGTTTATTCTCTCGACTCTTCTTTTATTGTTACGAGTCACTTTTTTTCTCACTGTTCATTTTTTTAAAGGAATTCTGTCCCTTTACTCACCATCTTAATTGCTGTCTCATGTTAGGTGCCCATCACCTGGCTGTCATACAAGGTGCCCATCACCTGGCTGTCATACAAGGTGCCCATCACCTGGCTGTCATACAAGGTGCCCATCACCTGGCTGTCATACAAGGTGCCCATCACCTGGCTGTCATACAAGGTGCCCATCACCTGGCTGTCATACAAGGTGCCCATCACCTGGCTGTCATACAAGGTGCCCATCACCTGGCTGTCATACAAGGTGCCCATCACCTGGCTGTCATACAAGGTGCCCATCACCTGGCTGTCATACAAGGTGCCCATCACCTGGCTGTCATACAAGGTGCCCATCACCTGGCTGTCATACAAGGTGCCCATCACCTGGCTGTCATACAAGGTGCCCATCACCTGGCTGTCATACAAGGTGCCCAGCAATTGGCTGTTATAAGAATAAAACTCATAAAAGTTCTACCGCAGTCTATAATATTTACAATATCCTTGTCATTTGGCTAAAATGAAACAGCACTGGTGCTTTTTGATATTCATTTATTGCATAGATGCACATTAACATAATTATAACAGATACTGCAGTATTTATTGAGAATTGTCCAATACAAAACAATTTAAGAAAGTCATGGCTTGAAACTTCAACAAAAATATATTTATTTATATCTTGACAGATAATACCTCATATGTCCCTTAAGCAGCATCCATGAAAAAGGCTACTAAGCAGCTCAATCTAAATATCAAAACTTATACAGAATTTAACAAATTCTTACATTAATAATGGTTTTTCAACATGTTATAGAAGTTATGATCTGGCCATTTTTACACTTATTATGCCACCATCAGACCTATCCACTAGGCAGTCATAAACTTTCCATATCCATGAAGAAGGTTGTAATGCAATCACACACAAGCCTTTTGTACTAAGACTCTTTAACCCCCTTTGCACTCGATTGTTATATATCTTCTTTATGAGCCTCCTATTTTAATCCTCTTCTCCATCTGCCCACATCATAGAACATTAATTTGAGCCCTGCTCCTCTACCCAATTTTTCATAAATAAAAAATATTCTATATATATTATATTAACAACCAGTGTTTTAGAATACTGTACTCTCATTTCACCGACATGGCATGAGAAGCAAATACAGGCATGGAATGAGACACTCATGAAATACATGAGTGTCACTGTTACTGTTATATCATGTGACTGCATATGTGGCCTACTGTATCATGTGACTGCATATGTGGGCCTACTATATCATGTGACTGCATATGTGGCCTTCTGTATCATGTGACTGCATATGTGGGCCTGCTATATCATGTGACTGCATATGTGGCCTGCTGTATCATGTGATTCTATATATGGCCTGCTGTATCATGTGACTGCAGATGTGGCCTGCTGTATCATGTGACTGTAGATGTGGCCTGCTGTATCATGTGATTGTATATATGACCTGCTGTATCATGTGACTGTAGATGTGGCCTGCTGTATCATGTGACTGCAGATGTGGCCTGCTGTATCATGTAACTGCAGATGTTGCCTCCTGTATCATGTGATTGTAGATGTGGCCTGCTGTATCATGTGATTGTATATATGACCTGCTGTATCATGTGACTGTAGATGTGGCCTGCTGTATCATGTGACTGCAGATGTGGCCTGCTGTATCATGTAACTGCAGATGTTGCCTCCTGTATCATGTGATTGTAGATGTGGCCTGCTGTATCATGTGACTGTAGATGTGGCCTGCTGTATCATGTGACTGTAGATGTGGCCTGCTGTATCATGTGATTGTAGATGTGGCCTGCTGTATCATGTGACTGTAGATGTGGCCTGCTGTATCATGTGATTGTAGATGTGGCCTGCTGTATCATGTGATTGTAGATGTGGCCTGCTGTATCATGTGACTGTAGATGTGGCCTGCTGTATCATGTGACTGTAGATGTGGCCTGCTGTATCATGTGATTGTAGATGTGGCCTGCTGTATCATGTGACTATAGATGTGGCCTGTTGTATCATGTGACTGCAGATGTAGTTTGATATGTCTCTCAGAGCCAGATGAAGTCACTACTACCCATCCTCTTCCTATAAGTTACATCTTGGCTGCAGCGGGAAAAGGAAACCATTGGCTGGCGAGGGTCCTTCTTTTCCCCCCTAAATAATAAAGACTATCAACAAAACAGATGCTCTATATCAAGTATTTACGGTGTTCAGGGATTAAGTGAGATTTGTTTTCAGTCAAGTTGTTCTATAAGCAACTTGAATGCTTTAAAAGTTGTCATATTATATGCAACTTGCTATTAAACACTTTAGCATTCTGGTCTCTCACCATGTACCATGAGGCCCCCACTCTTAAAACACTATTTCATTTTTTTTTTTACACTTTTGAAGTGATTTTTTAGGTTATAGCTATAAACGTGTCAAAATATTTGCAAATAATTCTTGTAGAATATAGATGCAAGAAAAAACTGTACTGATGTATTAGGGGTGAACGTGTTGAATCTACAAATGTTTGTGAACCTACATTTCTATATATTGTACTGTATATTTTACAGCTAAAAAAAAAAAATATGGAAATGTGCACCCCACAATGTAGTCTACTATATATTGTTGTAAAAATGAAATAAACATAACTTCCATACTTTTTATTAGATAATTTGCAAAGCAGTAGAGAAAATATGGACAGAAAAAGCAATTACAGTACCATCTTGAGCAATAGGGTAGTTGGCCAAAGTGATTACTGCTTGAGCTCCTAATAAGCTCCGCCCACACTGTATGTCCTGTGTCTTCATGAAATTGCGAGTAGAATCATTCAGGAAATGATTATCGGAAATTCTGAGATCAGGTGATGCATTTGAGTGGAATGTTTACTTTTCAATTTCTTATGTTTTTATGAGATTGGGAGCTGCCTCGTATGGGCCAATAGGTCTTCTTGCAGTTAACTTCCTTCTTATGATGCTAAAATGTGTCATCAAAATGCTAAGATGTTAATAACAAGCTTGCAGTTTTGAGTACTTTGACAAAAATAATAATAATATCTGCAAAAATATACTGTACAGTATATTTGTGATACATATGGTTTCCCACTGTTGGGGACATGAAGAATGTTATGATTATGCAGGCGATGAGTCACAATAACGTGGCTAAAGTATGTTGACCAGACCAATTGACTTGAGAATGGTCCAGGACAGACCGAAACGTCGTCGTCCCTTCTCCTTCTAGTGTGTGGACTGGTCAACGTTATGATTATGCTTATCAAAGTCCTCTTAGGCAATCTACTGACCTTTCCAGGATACAACCTACAACATCTCTAACACCTGGGTACCTGTTTGCTGCTAGGTGAACAGCCATCACATGAAATCACATTGCCCCAAGTGCTTTGTCCTGCCACAGGAATTAAACCTGGGATTTTTTGCCGAGACATGACCGTACCACATACATTATTTACTTATTTACACCCATACACACACACACAGATGAATACAACTAGGTGAATACAGAGTTTGTGTGAGAAGGTTCAGAGGTTTGCCACCAGACTAGTGCGGAACTGAGGAGCATGAACTATGAGGACAGACTAGGGGCATTTAACCTCACGTTACTAGAAGACAGAAGAGTTAGGGGGACATGATCACTACATTCAACATTCTCAAAGGAATGGATAGGGGTAGACAAAGACAGTTTAATTTAACAAAGGGCACATGCACTAGGGAATACAGGAGGAAATTGAGTGTCCAAATGAGCCATAGAGACATTAGAAAGAATTTTTTTAGTGTCAGAGTAGTTAATCAATGGAATGCATTAGGAAGTGATGTAGTGAAGGCAGACTCCATACACAGTTTCAAATGTAGATATGATGGAGCCCAGTAGGTTCAGGAATCTGTACACCAGTAGATTGAGAGGCGGGACCAAAAAGCCGAAGCTCAACCCCCACAAGCACAACTAGGTGAGTACACATACACATACCGGTAGACAGTTTGAACAAGTTAAGTGAGAAGGTGGTGAAGGCCAAAACTCTCAGTAGTTTCAAAGCATTATGATGAATACCGGGAAGACAGGACACCACAAGTATAGCTCTCATCCTGTAACTACACACATCCTCCTTTCCCTACCATTCAAATTACTGTATACATAAAAGAATTTTGTTAAAAATAAACTATACCACACCATCAACACACAGTAAATTCCCACTCTTTCAGATCAATTTAACAAAATAATACAAGATGCATACAGAGCTACAGTATTGTAATTATGGTCGCTCTTACCCTGATTATACAGTTCACATGTTCACATATACCGTAGCCTCCTAAGTGCTGTACTACCAATATGAGAGGGCAATAAATGTACAAATAATGCAGCTGTAATTTTTGCTATTAGAAATTTATATCTTTCTATGTTATTTTGTTATCAAAGTACATACTTTATAATATGCAAAGTAAATGGTCTATCATTTGTACTAATGTAAAGATGCTTCTTGGTAAGTTAAAATTCCAAAACTTTAAAGATCTTCAGATTTAATGGACAGGGTCTGGTTCTTATGTATCAAGATGATTAGACCACTATATAATACAATAGTACCTTATATCGAAAGTCCCACAATCTGGCACATATAAATCAAACAGTACACACACATTTATTTGAAATAAATTGCTACAAAACACATACTATACTGTACATCGAATGTATTATACATCACCATATACAGTACGCAAACATGAAAGCGAGTTTCTTTTTAAGAAAGGTACTAGGATCTGAATAATCTGACAAGTTTTAAGTTATCATCATATTGCAGAGCTTTAAAAGCTATAAATAATATAAAGAAGTTCATTAAAACTCTGAATTATGATTGTGACTTCTTAGTACAGTACTACTGTACCCGATTATCTGGATAATTGGTACATTGGTTCTTAAGAGTCAGTACAGTATATCTGAAAATCCATATAAGCGAAGAAAGAAAAAAAAAAAAAGAGAAATTACAAAATCACGTATTATAGGATAATGATGATTTAACATGGACACAGGGTGCTAAATTAATACAGTACGTAATTATCAGAAGAAAGTGCCCAGTTGGAAAGACTATGTAGCAGCATTTGTGTCGCTGGATATTCAAAAGGTTCAAAATGTCAGTCCGGATGTCAATACGAGAACAAAAGGATTCAAGGTGATAATATCAAAGGTATCGGATTCATAAATATAGTAATCGATACCAAAGTTTAAACAATATGTTATGGTTATAATCACTTTTACTGCATAATTATTTTTAGATACCATCATCTGGTTGGGTTATATCATCTCGAGAAAACTAAATTCTAGTCCTAAGTCTGAAAAGCATAGTTATATTACAATTATGTTTAAAACGTCAAATAACTGTACTGTACATCATTTTTATTAGCAAGAATATATATTGAAACACCAAATAACTGTACATCTATTTTTTTTAGCAAGAATATACTCTATATATCACAACTAAATGGTGCTCTGGATAGGTTAACTTAGTTATAATAATCAGACATTACTGTATCTTTTTTACGTTTATCGCCAACATTTCCTCGGTCACTACTTTTTCTTCTTTCTTCCCTTCTGTGACGACATCACCTCTTGCTTAGTCTTCCGTTTACGATTTGAGCGCCGAGTCTGCTGTGGAATTTCAAAATCAAGTTCCTCCGAGTCCTGAACGAAAATACAATTGATTTTTATAATATGAACTGAAGAACATGTATAAATCATGTGATCTGTTTTGGTGAAAAACATTAATAAGCAATACCTTTTTTTTCAGCATTTTCTAACAATGAAGGTGCCAATTCCTGGTTAGTTAGACACACACCACCACCAGCATGCTTGTTCACACACAGCTAGGTTAGAATATACACGCACTATCCTATTATCAATACTGTATTTATAATGGTAAAGAAATCACAGAAGCTAATATCAACAGCTAAATCTAAAATACCTGCACAGCAATTTTTACAACATAATTTTATTTTTTGCAATTTTCTTATCAAGCGGGGTTTGTTTTGTTATGCCTATCTTTCTTGGTGCCTAACCCCGGTCGATGGCAGACAAGGAATACCCCCCAACCACAGGGGGTTTCCAGAGGCCATTGCTCCTTTGCCTCTCTGAGGGGGGGCCAGGTTCTGGCTCATGGTACCCAGTAGGCTGAACTCCACTGAGTATAATGCCCTAGACTAATATATCGCATATTAGCCCGATAGCTCCAGGGAGCCAAAGGGGCACCCCACAGAAAAGTCATAATAGAAACATAAATAAATACAGCAGTGAAGTTCCCCATTATAAAAAATAATATATGCATGATACTGGATTACATGTAAACAATAGAATCATACCAATGCTTGTGATAATTTGGAGGGAATGTATTCAGGGTCCCCTTGAGAACTGCTGATTAGTGGCTGTGTGTCAAAGTTGTCATCATCGTGGATAGTATGGTCAGGGTGAGGAGCAGTCATCCTGGCTCGAGTAGACCGCCTCCCAACCTCTGGACTCAGTGGTAGTACCTGGAACTCAGCTTCTCTATCTTCTACATCACTGACATGTGATGTTTCAGGTTGATGGGCTGGTATCAGTTCTTCATCATACTCCTTTTCATTCAGTCTAACTGAAAGAATATGTATACCATAATTGTAAATGAATTTGGCAAGTTTTATGACAACTCTGTGACCTACTTCACTTTCTCCCATAACCCATTCACCACCCACATTATTCTTATGGCTAATAATAAAGTTTTCCATAATACAAATTATGCAAAACATGTAGTTTACCTAGAATGCAAGCCATTGCTTTCCTTTACTATGTATTTCAATATTAAGACATGTAAGTGCTGAGTGTACCAATAGAGTAAGTCACTAATAGTCAAGTGAAAACATCACAGGTCTGCCTGGATGCTTATTGATGCTGATGCTCCAAGTACTACATACATCATGGCCATTGTTGGGCCATGTAGAGGTGTTAGGGAGCCACAGATGACTGAATGGCCAGGATAATAGATATTCATTAGTGTGTTTTCAAGCCCACAGTAATCATGCCCCCTCCCCCAATGATGTCACATACATGACTGCCAGTACCAGCTCATACTAACCAAACCAGAAATCAGAACACACCACCTAGTGTCCCTAACCATAGTCAGGTAGCAGCACTGCTACAAGACAGGTTCTGCCAATTACCAGCAACTGACTGGGACCGATTAGAACCTAAGTATTGACCTTGTTGACCAAAGGCATCGAGGTAAGTCAGTTGTTTTTGCATACAAGATTTTGGTATTGAATATCCCTGTACATACCCTGTCCAGAGGGTAATTCAGAACTCTGCCTGGATAATCATTTACAGTTAGTTGCCAGCGGCGTCTGATCAGACACCAGCACACTTCCGCACTCATATAACTCAGTTTGTGTTGACTTCAACAACTGGAATATGGCCTTTGTGCCCTTCCAGTCAGGAATGGTAGGGTCTTATAAGATCTGTAGTACTTTGGACACCACTGGAGATCCTTTCTAGGTCTTGATGCATCCCTTACTATCTGCATGCATCTTCTTGAGGTTATCTTGAGATGATTTCAGGGCTTTTTAGTGTCCCCGCAGCCCAGTCCTCGATAAGGCCTCCACCCCCAGGAAGCAGCCCGTGACAGCTGACTAACACCCAGGTACCTATTTTACTGCTAGGTAATAGGGGCACAGGGTGAAAGAAACTCTGCCCATTGTTTCTCACCGGCGCCCGGCGAGAACCGGCGTGCCCAAAGGAGCTGCACTTTCATTGGTTGCCTAACTCGGGTTACAAGTACTGTACTGTATGTTCTTTCCTAGCCTCAAGAGACCCTAGTACTGCACATATGCTCCTAGTAATGCTAGTGTCACCAACCAGCCTTAGTAGCATTACCACATTAAGTCCAAGACATTTCCATGGAGTTTTCCACTCTGGTCTCTTACAGTCATAGAAAAAGGTTACACAAGAAATTCATATTCTGATTATATTGCATTCTTATAAATTCCTGAAATTTGCCTTTAGGGCTTAGAGATATGGAGAAACACGAATTCTCTGTTCTGTACAGACATCATATCATCAAAGCACATTCCTCTTGCTTACTGTATTATTTTTGTAGGATGTAGGCTAATTCCACTCTTGGACTTGTGAGGGGTTGCAGACAGCAAGTGTCTGATCTTCCATCTCATTCGACTGCTCACGTTGCACCCAAGTTAAAGTTAATTGATCAAAAATTTAAGAGAGAGTTCTTCGAGCTCTTCTCTCGTAAGATCCATAACTCTCCAGTGCACAAACTATGTACTATCAATGACTGGTGTACTGATTTAGTGCTTACAGTGAATGGGTCACAACACTCGTGGTGGGCACATATTTCTATTGTACGTTATCTTGAAGTTATCCTAAAATTATTACGAGGCTTAGCGTTCCTGCAGCCAAGTCCTCAACCAGGCCTCCTTTTTTGTTACACATTCCCAGGAAGCAGCTTGTAGCAGCTTTCTAACTCCCAGGTACCTATTTACTGCTAGGTGAACAGGAGCATCAGGGTGAAAGAAACTGTGCCCATTTGTTTCTGCCTCTGCTGGGGATCAAACCCAGAACCTTAGGAACCTTAATAAGTCCCCCCTCCCCCCCTTCTATTTCGCATCACGTTTACCGAGTATTAATCTCTAAACCTGCACTTGCTACAAATTATACAGACATTATATCCAGCTGGGAGAACCTCTGATTGAGGCTAGTTCACTGTTTATACTAGTGTATTATAGGTTGGCAGAAAGTGTTACTGGGACTGGGTATTGCTAGAGTACAGTACTAGAGACAGCCAGATACCATTTCCCTTGATTGGACTATCAGCCTTGGGCTGTTCTTGTGTTTTCAGTGTTAGCAGACATAGGTAATTCATTGATACAGATATCAGGCCATAGCATAGTTGCTCTTGCCAGGTAATGTAGTTTGGATTTCTTCCTACAGCATTGTTGCCAAGTTGACAAACTGGTGTTCCTTGACATGTGTGTGCAGTTTTCTACAGTACTGTATCTGCACAAATAATAATTAGTACAAAAACTCTTATGTAGCAAGCATAAAAAAATAGACAATGGATACAATTGAAGGATTGTATCCTTCCATTGTATCCAGATTTGCTGTGAACCTGTTTCCATCCCAAGAGATTCGACTGCATATTCCAACATTTTCCTTGAATTGACAGATTGGGGACATTTTACTTCTCATTTGGAAGAGATAATACCAAAATTGAACCGTTTTCCAATACTATATCTCTCTTTATAATTTCCTAGTGCCATAATACTTTGCTAAATATTTTGAGGATAATTTTATTGGTAAAAATATTACAACCATTTAAGTTCTTTGTGAACTCAAGATGACCACAAGTTGACTGACATCAAGGTTAAAATTTGCCAGTTCACTTAAAATGTCTTAATACAGTAGGTTTTTAATTTTACCAACATTTAATGAATTTAAATTTACATTGACACATTCCAAAACCTGTATGCCAATATCTTACACTATAATTTCCAAGTGCTTCAGTAGCATCATAATGCTACAGTGTGTGTACATCATCAATAAAATGATTTCGCAGTAACGAGAACAAATCAATATCGTGCAGATCTTGGTAATTAAAATCATTTAAATTTAATATAAATCCTGTATACGAAACAAAAGCAAATTATTTACTTAATTCAAATATTATTTGCTACTATATACTGTAATTACAAAAATATAAAACAAATATGCTGTACCAATAAATTTAGGAACTCGACTGAAATATAAAACAGGAATATCTAATAAATACTGCACTGTATAAGTTTATTTGGATAAGCCTATAGATGCTGACCTGTTGGAACAGCAAGGTGTAGAGGTTCAGAGTCCTGCAGCAAAGGTTCAGTGTCCTGCAGCAAAGGTTCAGTGTCCTGCAGCAGAGGTTCAGAGTCCTGCAGCAGAGATTCAGTGTCCTGCAGCACAAGTTCAGAGTCCTGCAGCAAGCTCACACTCTCGCCGCTACCCTCTGAACTTGATGGACTAGCCAGAAAAAAGTCTGGGCTAGACTCTACCCGCTTCTCACTGGGTAAAATGTTGTTTGGCAACGGGTCATCACTATCAAGTAAAGCTGCATCGTCTGTATGGTTGCCAAAACAATTTTCTTGTCGAGGCTTGAAACTATGCTCATCTACAAGACGAACTTCACACTTCGCCTTACTCTTCTTTTGCACTGCACACGTGTCAACACTGTTTGCTGTTTCTGGATCAACTGGGTAAAATATTTCTTTCTTACCTTGTTTATCACTATTTTTTCCTGGGTTTACTGAATTATTACAAACTAAATGTTTTTTTTTCTTGGAAAGAACACTAATGTTTTCATCTTTACTTTCATTTAATTTCAGTATTTCACTACTTTTCATAACTCTACTGTCACTCTGAGTATATTTACCCAACAGTGTATCACCTGAGGAGGTGCTCGGATTAGTTAAATTACTATCTGTCCAATTACCACCCAGCATTTGTTCACACGTGTCCTTCTGCTTCTCGGCTGCACGCACTTTTAAATCTTCCCTACGTTGCTCTTCTCTCCTTCTCCGAACATCATCAATAAGCTGTGCAAAATGATCTTTATTTTTCTTCACTGAAAATGTAAGTTAAAAAATATATGAGTTGATTACAGTATATAGCATTCTGAGAAATGTGAAGTTACAACACCTAAGCATAAATCATTCCCATGTATTGTATTGTACTCTAAGCATGCGGTATTGTGCAGGCTAACTGTGTTACTCCTCATATACCTGTGAGGTTGAGAAATAAAACATCACTAAAAGGTAAATAACTTAAGCCACGCATACAATATGAAAACGAGTCTCTGCGTCATTCAGGTACTTCCCCATTATCAGTGAACATAAGACTAAAGGCAAACAGCAGAAGGCCTATAGACTCATATGAGGCAGCTCATATTTACCCAAACTCATATGTCTATTATGTTACCCAGTAATGTATTGTGCTCCATAAATCAACCACCTTATTATCAAAAGTCTAATATTTACCAAAGTCTTTCTGGAATCTAAACTTATCCAATTTTTAACCATTGTTTCATGTTCTATTTTGTATTGATATATTTAACACCTTACTAATATCCCCTTTATAGTGCCATGTCATTCATTTTAATACTTCAATTACAGTATATCACTTCTAGAAAGGCAAAGAGTAAGAAACTTTAAATAAAAAGAAATAATAATATACTTACTGTAATTTTTTTGTTCCTTTTCAATAATCTCTGGAGCAGTTTTTCTGTCATATGTGAAAATCTGCAATTGAATAGTGATCAGTATACGGATGAAATGTACAGCACTTAATAACTTTCTATCAACTCAATGCAAGCTCACTACTCTCTAGCCCCCCTTCCTGGTAAGGACCAATTCAGATACTCCACCCGTGAACTGAAGCCAGATTAGCCTAACCTACTAACAGAGGAAACCCGATATCTTTGTACTTGACCTGTAGATATAAATGTTTATGGCATTGATAAATAAACAAATAGAAAACTATTACAATACAGTATTTGTAAATTTCAGCGCTTTCAGTATAATGTATCTTATTACTGTATCAAAATTTATATAATAAATTATAAACTTTGGATTATTTAATCTTGGTTTTCTGTATATGTTTTATTTTGAATTTTAATAAAGTTGCAAAAAATATACAGCACTGTTAATTTAACTTTTTTTTTTATACAAATGAACTTACACTCTGAGAACTGGCCACTCGTGCCTTCTCCCGCTCCTCGCGCTCCACTTGTCGCAGCAGCTCAGGTATAGGACGTGGTTCTGCTACGTCACATTCAGCATTATATAGAGTTACGTATCTGAAAACATAACATATCTTTAAAAAATAAGGAGCAACAAAGTAGGATACATCAAATTTTACTAAAACTAAAGTAGTACTGTATTCTTATTGGAGACATCCCTTAAATACTGTATGTCTTTTATGAACTGGAGTCAGGACTCGATAAAATTTGATATTTATGTATTATTTGGCATATTCCTACTGCAACAAAAATGTCACACTATATTTACATGACAAGACAATTATATTGGAGCCATTATGTTTGTTGCCAGTACTTGCCTGCGGTGCCTATTGACCAATGCTGTTTTATCACCCTGAAATGATAAGCCAATTTCTTTAAGCTTCTGTCGCATTTGCTTCTCTGACAACAAAGAGTATACCAACTTCGGCAAGAGTTTCCGTTTAGAAGTCTCCATAATTCTGATGAAGATAATACCACAGGGCAAGTTATGTATTTATATTGATAAATATTGTAATCGGTATTAAATCCACAAAACTAAAAATAATATCAAGGATGTTATCCAAATTTAGAGCATATAATACTGCATTTACATTAATAAATTTCAACCCCATTGTAAAAGGTTAAGTAACCTGGTATTTTTCCCATAGGGCCGAATTACCCAATTTATATTTTGAGTTCATATTTAAATTTATAAACAAAAATCAAGATATAAATTGGTATCCTGTAATAAATTGCTACAATTATTTGTACATGTCTATATACTACTGAAATCTGAGTTCTTCAAGATCCTTTCCTCAGAGGGGAGGCCAGAGCAGTCTCGCCTTTCATGAAGGTGTGACCATTGATAATTCACCTTCTTATACCGTTGAGCTCCACAAAAGCAACTCTGGTTGCTTATTGAAAATCGGTTATCCAGTGCCAGAAGCTATTTTTTTTTTCCGGGTGGCTACGAATGTTTCCACATCCTGTAATGTTTGACTAGGTCCTCTGACCTTCAAAACTGGCACTTGAACAAAATATGTGGCACCAAATTATGGCAACAGAACCAAATGTCACCATAATGGAAGCTCTAGAAATTCATGGAATGCCTTCCTCAAACGCCCATCTATTTCTACAAGTATTTGGAACATAATTAAGGTATGTTATGTGTTGTACATCGTGACATATTGAGTAAAAGTGACAAATATACTGTAACCAAGTACAGTATATTGGAGTCAAACTGGAAGTATGGTGGTATTTTTTTTATCTAATTCACATATAAATGTTTTCTTCTTGTTTAAGATGATCAAGATTGAATGCTATAAAGATTAATGGTAAATATGCATCTCACTTTCTTAACAATTTAATAAAAAGGAGACAGGTAAGGTATATAATCATTTACAGACTGGTACTGACCTGTTGATTTTTTTTTTTTTTTGTAATGGAAACTTAAAAAGTGTCTTTTGAGAATTTGTCGTTTTCCGTGCTTTTTTTTTTAATAAGTTTGAATGGTACGGATAAAAAGAATTGTTTGTTTTTCTAACTAGAAAGATAATAATATAAATTAATTTGGTTTAAATCCATTCTAACTCTTGGGAACAAATTGGGTAACAAAGTGTTGCAGCAAAAGGGATAACGGGGTGGCCACAGATACGTCAGGGGGTTGACCACTACTCAAAAGGGATGACCACAAATAAAACTCTTCTACACATTCACCCATCTGAAGGTATCAAGACCACTGAAGGAACAGCAGAATACCATGATACTTTGGCTATTTTATATGCCAAGCAGCCACTAGTTGCTTGCTGAGAAAAATAAAGTTGAAAGAATGAGGACCGACTGCACAAACTATTTACAGTTGTGAAAGAATGAGGACTCGCCTTGATAACTACAGTACAGTAAGTACAAGTGAAAAAGTAGTGAAGACAAAACATTACAACAGAAAATCATAAGGAGAAACAGCTGTTGCATAAAACACAACAAAATAAGAGTGAGTAGTATATGGAACTGACACCCAAGCAACTCAGCAGTTGGAGTGTGGGGGGGGAAAAAGACAATAACCATCAGTGACTCAAAGTGTTACTGTAAACATCGTTTCCTGCAGTTGGGAACAGGAAGCATGTTAGGCTTAATAGGATCTTATTAGACCAGCAACTGACCTTTCCCCAAGATGCAACCCACAACAATTGTCTCGCAGGTGCCTTATTTTTTGCTAGCTGAACAGCAGAAACAGATAAAAGGAAACATGCCCAGATGCTTCAGTTTGCACTGGAAATAAACACCAAACGTTTTGCAGACGATGAGTCACAATAACATGGCTGAAGATATGAAGACTAAACCACACACCAGAAGATGAGGAGACGACGACGTTTCGGTCCGTCCTGGACCAATATCAAGTTGATTGTGATGGGTGCGAGGTTGGTGGTGTTGTTATAGATTCAGCTACTCAGAACAAGTTCCAAGTAGCACGGGCTATGGTGACCCCATAACTTACCTGGCACAGGAGCGGGGCAAATAGCACGAGCTATGGTGAGCCCGTGGTGGACTTACCTGGCACAGGAGCGGTGCTGAATGTGCTGGGGTGCGAGGGAGGCATGGGCATTAAGTAAGGCAAGAGAGAGGTGGAGGGAGGTGAGGAAGAGAAAATTAAATTACTAGAGGAAGGTAAGAGCAAAGCAAAATGTACGGATGCAATTTCACAACCAAATCTTTTGGTTGTGAACCGATTGCACTGACCTCTGTGCAACAGTAATTTCATTTAAGACAAACACCAATCGGTCTGCTGCCCATATAATCATTTTAAAGTGAATAACTTGTAAATAAACACTAACATTTCTATATCTTCTCCTTTCTCCATGCGTTGAAGACAAGCATCAAGGTGCAAGTTTATATTTCTCTCGGGCACAGCCACACTGCACACAGGGCATGGCACACGCCCGCCATCTTCTCCATTACCCTCATTGCTTGTACTGAAAAAAGTTTGAATTACTAAAACTCACAAGTTAACACTTTCGCGCTTTAGATTAGAGATAACTCGTCGCCGTTTTCTCTTACGATTCCGCATAACAGCCGAGTTTTCTCGTCCATCGAAAAAATATTTCTATAAATTCCATTTTTTAACCGAAATGGATGGGGATACTTTTGTTTTGTAGGGAATTTATTTGCGAATGTTTTGGTACCAGAATGAATATTATATCACATAAACTTCTATGAGTAAAAAAAAATACACAAAGTATGTTTGGGGGTGTGGCGAGCGTGTGGCAGTGGGTTCCCTTTAGCCGTTGATATATCCAACACGTGGGAAATATTTGTATGTGTTATGTATATGTCTGTGTAGGGAATTTTACTGCGATCACTGTCATACAAATTATAAAATGTTTCAACAAGTATAAACATGACAAACATCAAACGAACGAAAACAATGCGTTCGTTTCTGCCGCGAACGCATACTGAGCGACGTGGTTCTATATTTGGCGCTTCTCTTACACATGCTTTGTACAAATGTTATACAGTTCATCTTATAGAAAATTTTATTGCGAACACATTGGTATAAAAAAGAAATACATACATAGAAAAGTAGGGTCAGGAAACGTATAAACTTTCCAAGCATGATTTCCCCCCTGTGTTTTCGCCAGTGCGCTCGCGGCTAACTACTCTCCACTTCACACACTCTTGCGGGTGGGCAATTACCTATATTAAACATTCATATGCATATGTCCGTGTAGAGAATTTTATTGCGATTCCAATGATACCAAAATTAGGGATGTAGGACAACTGTAGGCTTCGCAACCATTAAGAGAGTGGAAACATTTTGTTGCTGTTTGGCGCTCTCGGCGAGTGATCTGCATAGTTTTTTATTTGGTGTTGATACTCCTTATGCTTGGGCGGCATTTTATAGGTATGCTCTTATAGACAATTTCATTGCGAACACAGTGATACCAAATTTAAATACGTGCGCCTTCAATTATTGTCAGGACAGTCAAAAGAGTGTACACTTTTCGGTCTTACCGCGTAGGCGCGCGAAGTGCCGAAAGCATCTGGGGTATTGTTTTTTTTTGAGCGCCAAGAGCGCGAAAGTGTAAACCAAAATAATTGTTATGAAATAACAAGACTTACACAAATTATTTAACAGCAATGTGAATGGATGAATATATGAATACACTTCTGACCAGACACTTAAGGTTAGTTACCTATGATTAAATATGGAAAAATGTCCAGAAGCTACTTGACAAGCACCCCGAGTTGAAGGTGACTGTGAGGTAGACATTCGAGATGCCTGTAAACTACCAAGGGGAGACTTTAGTGTAACTTCACTACTACTGCTGCTGCTGCTTTTTGATGGTGTGGTGTAATTGTTGTTGTTGCTTTTCAATGGTGAACTGCTTTGGTTTGGGAGCATATTCTTTCCCAAATTTATCTTGTGGGAAACATTGTTACCTCTGTCACTCCTGCTTGAAAAAATATTGTAGTTAAAATTAAGCATTAAACAGTACTATAAATAACAGTAACATTTTATTTATTTACCCACCAAAAATTTATCATTCAACACAAAGAATTTCATAAAAATGTAAAAATGATAGAGTAACTTGAATTTGTACATACTAATCTTGCAAAAAGATACATTTGGCTGTGCTAGTAAGAACTACCAACAAACCTTTGTGTAGATAGAAAACCCTTAGGTGAGGCAATTTTTCCCTCCCTCCCCATGCTGCTTGTTTCTCCAGATGTTGTAGTAGTGGTGATAAAAGGCTGGCTAGACGGAAAGCTACTTATAACAGCTTCATCTGCCTTAGCCTCCCCTTCACACTTGCTCGTCTCCAAGTAACTAGTGATGACACCACCCTTTGACGCTTGGCTCATACGAGCCACTTTATCCCTGCAAAGCACAATTTAAAGCATAGATTTGTACTTCATTAAAATGAAGGTTACAGAAAAAGTTTTCTACAATACCTTATTCTGACAGGATTATTCATGTTATAAACTTTCAGTATTTAAATGGCCATGATATGCAGTCTGAGAGTAGAAAGATTAAAAATAAAATAAATAAATAAAATTAATCTTGGGTAATTTCAGGAAGATTCAGCAATAATCACAGAAATGCTCAAAACTAATCAAAATAATGCAGATGAAAAGTCATAATGTGCCTGAAAAATGTTGACCAAATCACACACTAAAAATTTACGAGATGACAATGTTTCTATCCATCCTGGACCATTATCAAGTTGATTGTGATGAGACGAGGGAGACATGAGCATTAAGTAAGGCAAGAGAGGTGAGGAGATGGAAATCTTAGAGGAAGTTATACCTTTTGCCTTGCACTTATCTTCCTCTAAGATTTCCATCTCCTCACCTCTCTTGCCTTACTTAATGCCCTTGTCTCCCTCGTCTCATCACAATCGACTTGATAATGGTCCAGGACGGACCGAAACGTCGTCGTCTCTTCAATTTCTAGTGTGTGTGGTTTGGTCAACATTAATCAAAATAATGATGTAAACGTGAGAGAGATAATATTTTCAACTTTATTACCTTAATGTGGAAAACAACCCTATGATCTCGTCAATCAGTCTATTGTTTCGTAAATGTTGAGTGGTAGTCTCTTGAAAGCAGGCAGGGCACTGTGTTTTATAGGACAAATACTGCCGAATGCACAGTGAGCAATCTGTTCAATATAATTCAATGCTGTTTAAAAGGCTCCACTGCATATAAATATATTATTTATTGTAAAAGATAAATTTATAATTGACTCTTTATAAAAAACTGCATCCACATAGATAACCATCAACTAGATAATACTTAAATCCTAGTTAAACAGGGCAAGACAGGTACACCAAGATTGCAATAAAATACAATAAAATCATATGAAAGCAGATACATTAATATCAAGTGAAAGGGCAGATTCTGATTTCCATAATGAACAATTATTGCAAACTGTTTGCTTTATTTACGAGATGCCTCAAAATGGTATTACTGTACTGTACTTTATTGCTAAGCTGATGCAAAAGTGGCCTTAGTAACTGTTGTAATGACTGGTACTGTATGTAATTTCTTGCTTTTTACTTTTAGATAAATGTTTTGTTTTATTTAAAATTCTGTATGCTAATTTTTATGTATCATATGCTAGTGTTTGCAAGTTTATTAAATTGTGTATGAAGGAATGTTTGTGGGCGAGTGTAAAGTAGATTTCACGCATATTTTTACAAGGGTGGCATCCGTGCAACTTGCTCTACCACACAGAGACAGGAGCTGAAGCTAGTAGCAGGCGTAGGCTTACCTCAGCTTTCTCAGTGTGATGGAGTACAGCAGTCCTTCTGGTGAGTTGAAAAATGTGTTCCCTGTTGTATTATGTCCCAATCCTTGTGTCTTTTTAATAAATGTACTGCATGTACCTTGTTGGTTGGTTTTAATCCAGCAAATTAAAAATATTTGTAATTTCCTAAGTGTAGTTACAGGATGAGAGCTATGCTCATGGTGTCCCATCTTTCCAGTACCGTACTCTGTCATAAAACACTCTGAAACTACTGACGGTTTTTGGTCTCCACCATAAGTAGAGGCCGATCACTTGTATTTGAAGTTCTTCTATATATATTACATGTGTTCTGTTCAGTATTTCCATTTTTAATTAACATACATGTACTGTAAGTAAAGAGGAAGTGGGAGGGCTTTATATTTTATTAGTATTATATTTTATAAATTTCTCTCCCCCTCCTCACACTGTTCACTTTATTGCTATGTTGTATCAGGAGTGGCATTACCAACTCCATTCATTTATAAATTTTCTCACAAACAATTCTTCCCTATTTTGTTTAATGTAGTTACTGTATGTATTTATATGAGTTTAAAAAGAGTAATATAACTTAAAACTTACAGTTATGAGAACAAGCAGTGATCATTGATGTGGACATCAATTCGTAGCAGATACCACAACGTAGCAGCTCGTCCAGACGCTGCAAGTTGAAAGAATACAGTACAGTGTACAATGGATATTTATTTTCTAGCCTGTGGTTTGGTCAACAATACAGTACAGTAATTCCTATACTTAACCATGAGAAACAAAGAAAATTGTGGTATTCATGAATTCTACAGGATATTTATTTCCATTTTAAGGATGTGCAAACTGTCAGCTCCACATTAGTAGTTTAACACATTGGATAAAAAGTTTTGCAAGTACTGTACAGCTGAAGTTTTAACTGGTTTATAATTAGATAGGAGACACCTGAAAACTCTGGGTTTATAAGTGGGTTCTGAAGTTGAATATGAATAGTATAGAAAGGCAATAAGAAAATAATAGTTTTAATACAAAAAATGCACTTTGATTTCCCACCTTTAACTGTGGAATGTTGGACGGCCACGGGAGAGAGTCCTCTATCTCCATGGTTGCTTCACATCACTTTTTAATGGAAAAAGTTAATTACAGTAATATACATGATTCAGTGTTTAACACAATTTAAGTCACAACTAGTGGGAAACATTTTATAAGTAGCATTTAGTCAACATGTCAAGGAGCCCGACAGCCGAGTGGAGAGCGCTTCGGATTCATAGTCCTGAGGTTCTGGGTCGATCCCGGTGGAGGTGGAAACAAATGTGCAGAGTTTCTTTCACCCTGATGCCCCTGTTACCTGGCAGTAAATAGGTACCTGGGAGTTAGACAGCTGCTATGGGCTGCTTCCTGGGGGGGTCTGTAACAAAAAGGAGGCTTGGTCGAGGACCGGGCCGCGGGGACGCTAAGCCCCGAAATCATCTCAAGATAACCTCAAGAAGTAGTGGTGTTCTGTAGTGGATGGGTTGCTGGAGTATAATGTTACCGAGATTACACGATGCTCCTTTGAATGGAAAATATTAACTTAGATACACAAAAAATTATTAATTAATAGCTTTCTATTTCTTCAATTTCAATGGGTCAGTTCATAGTCTCCGTGGTGTAGTGGTAAGACACTCGCCTGGCGTTCCGCGAGCGCTATGTCATGGGTTCGTATCCTGGCCGGGGAGGATTTACTGGGCGCAATTCCTTAACTGTAGCCTCTGTTTAACGCAACAGTAAAATGTGTACTTGGATGAAAAAACGATTCTTCGCGGCAGGGGATCGTATTCCAGGGACCATAGGATTAAGGACCTGCCCGAAACGCTACGCGTACTAGTGGCTGTAACAAGAATGTAACTCTTGTATATATCTCAAAAAGTCTGACAGGAAGTCTGACACTAACCAAAGCACACCCGGTAATTCTGGACAGGCCTGAGGAATCTTAATAGCAAGACCCTGCTTAACAACATGTTATCAGTTCAATAAACTGAACTGTTATCAGTTCAATAAAATTATATTATAATTAATTGAATTATGTCCTGACCAGGAGGGACGAGGGAGAACACCGTGTACGCCATTGTACCTCACAAGAGCTCTGGAGGGTCGGTTAAAAAGCGCCCGGATAGTTTTGAGGGTCAAGGAGAGTGTGTGTGTAAGGCCCAGATGATGTGGAGGAGTGAGAGGGCTGTCGAGTGAAGGTGAGTGCCGGAGTGCCAGACAATAACACAAACACTGCCACTGTTTACATGTTTTCCCGCCATTCTCCCCCCCCCCCTCTCTCACCATACATCTTTACAATCTATATAAACACTCTTCCATCACCAATTTAATGTATTGCTAGCAAATTAAATATTATTCTCCGTAGACGCAAAACATGTCTAAGGTGTGTAATGAAGGGTGGGGGAGAGAGAGAGAGTGAGGATGAGGTGAGAGGGAGATGGTGAAGGTGTAGACCCGTCATGGCGGCCCCCGGCAGGCGTCGTCTGCGACTCCACCACCTGTGAGTGGCCCTGGTCGACCAGCTGGAAGTTATTCTTCCTTCTTTATTGTTGCTCTATGTGCGCTCCTGCTCGGGTCCTATGATTGAGGTGTTGCAGGCGATTCGTTTTGATGGTGGAGGGACTGACCTTCCTAGACTAGGTCTATAGTATAGGGTCATAGGTTACCCCTCAAAAAAAAAAAATATATATATATATAATAATAATGCTAAGGTTTGTCCAAAATACTTCTTGTTTGTATGTGGTATAAAAATATATATATGCCAATACATAAATTTTCGTTACAGTAAATGCGTATTATTTTGTATACATTATTATTATTACTATTATTATAAATGGTAAATGGAAATTCGTTCTCAACTTAGTCAAGAATCAAACTACTGGCCTCCGCAGGATGCAACTCCCACAACATTCACCTAACTCCCGGGTACCAATTTACTGATACGTGAGTCATTAGTTAAAAAAGGAAATCGTGCTCAGCCATTTCTGTCTTGCCCAGGAATCAAACCCATGACCTCTATGATTGAGAGCCACGATTGAAGCCAACGTTATGTGCTGTTTTGTTATGTCTTGAATGGTTTTGCATTTTTGGGGCCAAATGCACTGATGATGTTACATCCTTGACCCTTAGAAGACGGCTTATGTCACATAGGGGTCTCGTGGCACGGTTGGCTTTATTCTCTACTCGCGATCGGGAAGCCCAGGTTCAATTCCCGGACGAGACAGAAATAGTTGGAAAGCTTCCTTTCACCTAATGCGCCTGCTCGCCTAGCATTTAATACGTATCTGGGAGTTAGCCAACTGTTGTGGTGCTTCATCCATGGAGAGGTCACTCATTTGATCTTTGGGGGACCTTGATACAAGCCTGAATATACAGTATATATACTGTATGTATGTATGTGTATGTATGTGTATGTATGTATGAATGTGTATATATATATATATATATATATATATATATATATATATATATATATATATATATATATATATATATATATATATATATGCAGAAAATCCACAGAGAAATATGAAATGAGGTGAACGTTTCGGCTTTGTTAAAGCCTTTGTCAACACCAGACTGACTAAGGAGAAGGGAGAAGGGGGAGGATATATAGGCCGACACCTGACCAACCCATCCCTAGGGTTGGTCAGGTGTAATTAACCAAAATCAGGTATAGCTTAGCTTAGAATGGTCAAAGAGGATTAAGCGGTCAGAGAATAAGGATGAAAGATTAAAGAAAAGCCTCATGAACCTCATGAAAGCCTCATTTCATCCTTATTCTCTGACCGCTTAATCCTCTTTGACCATTCTAAGCTAAGCTATACCTGATTTTGGTTATTACACCTGACCAACCCTAGGGATGGGTTGGTCAGGTGTCGGCCTATATATCCTCCCCCTTCTCCCTTCTCCTTAGTCAGTCTGGTGTTGACAAAGGCTTTAACAAAGCCGAAACGTTCACCTCATTTCATATTTCTCTGTGGATTTTCCGCATAAAATGATCAGTGTTTTGTGATCGTCAATTGCATATATATATATATTATTAAATATGACCGAAAAAGTAAGATTAATAATTCTAACACGAATTTTCTCAATCTTTCGTACATTTCGCTTCACTGTTGGAGGTAAATCAAAAATCAATTCTCCAAAATTCATTTTTATTTCTAGTCTGACGCGACACGAGCGCGTTTCGTAAAACTTATTACATTTTCAAAGACTTTAGTTCACAAATACACAACTGAATAGAACTTACGCATCTCCGATTTTATATCTACATTTGAGTGAGGTGGAAGGGGTGATGTGGCATTAACACAAGACAGAACAAAATGTGGTATTAATAGGGTATTAATTTCATCAACACAAGACAGAACAAGAGTATTAATAGGGTATTAATTTCATCAACACAAGACAGAACACGAAACAATGGATATTGAATAGAAGTGTTTGTAGAAAGCCTATTGGTCCATATTTCTTGATGCTTCTATATTGGAGCGGAGTCTTGAGGTGGGTAGAATAGGCTATATTCTACCCACCTCAAGACTCCGCTCCAATATAGAAGCATCAAGAAATATGGACCAATAGGCTTTCTACAAACACTTCTATTCAATATCCATTGTTTCGTGTTCTGTCTTGTGTTGATGAAATTAATACCCTATTAATACTCTTGTTCTGTCTTGTGTTGATGAAATTAATACCCTATTAATACCACATTTTGTTCTGTCTTGTGTTAATGCCACATCACCCCTTCCACCTCACTCAAATGTAGATATAAAATCGGAGATGCGTAAGTTCTATTCAGTTGTGTATTTGTGAACTAAAGTCTTTGAAAATGTAATAAGTTTTACGAAACGCGCTCGTGTCGCGTCAGACTAGAAATAAAAATGAATTTTGGAGAATTGATTTTTGATTTACCTCCAACAGTGAAGCGAAATGTACGAAAGATTGAGAAAATTCGTGTTAGAATTATTAATCTTACTTTTTCGGTCATATTTAATAATATATGTCTACAGGAAAGACTGCTACCAAAATATACTAATATATGTATATATATATACATACATACATACATATACACAGGCTTCCTGTTCCCTGGAAAAAATTATTTCGTTTCATCTTGTGTGAATCCAGCTTATATAATATGACTCACTACAAATGTAAGGAAATTTGGTTTTGCTTATAAAACCCTATAATATCCATGATTTGACATCTGTCTGACTATTATTACCAGTAAGTACCTAATAAAATGCTAAACGAGTTATTATACATAAAAAGTCATTAGGGACAGCAAGAATTTTTGCAGCATGTGGCACCAATGTACCCAAATACTTTTATTCAAAATATTAAGTTTCAAGACTGTGATCAATGTTGTTCTAAGTGTTCCCTGAAATCTACCAGAAAAAAAAAAATTAGGTGTAACTATTTACCCAAAGTTCAAAGGTTACCCAGTCTGTCAGTACTTAGTAAAAAAGTCGTCAGGATACAGTTGAGCCTCGATTAACGAATTTAATCCGTTCCAGCACCGAGCTCGTTATGTGAAACACTCAACTTGCGAAACAAATTTCCCCATTTAAAATAATGGAAATAAAATTAAACCGTTCCACCCCTGAAAAACATCAACATGGCATTTTATAATGTAATTATAATACCAGTACATGTAATTATTATAAATGTTATACTGTATATCACTGTTTTCAATTGTACTTGAAAAGTACAATTGAATTTGTCCAAGAATTTGCGAGACCCGCACCATATGGTTTGCTTGTTAATTGAGCAAAAGCTCATCGATTGAGACAAATTGTCGACGAGTGGCTCGCTCGTTACCTGAAATGCTCGTAGATGGGGCTCCTCATCACTCGAGGTTCCTCTGTATATTTTATCTATCAGTGATGTAAATGTTAAAGAAAAAAAATGTTCATTATAATTTTATTCATATTATCTTTAATGTTAAAATTTAGTTACAAACTTTCCTTCTATGGCATAGTAATCATAAGGAATAAGAATATCATTAAAATGGCTTGATTGAACTGCAAGTCTTATCTTACACTGCATCATTCCAGAAAATCACTGTGGTCAGAGATTAAGGTGGTGAGCAGCTTGCTTCACTCTGCTGCAGCTCAAGCTTTGGACCCCATTCCTACTGCCTCGCCCAGCAGGGAAACGACACAGCACCACGCCCCTGCACGGCCCACTCCAGTTGGCTCACCTTCACAAGAGGCAGGAGAAACCATGACTTCAATTTCTCAGTGCTCAATACTGCCTCGCAATTTCCAGTGGTTACTGGAGTACTCTCCAGTCTTTCCCATCAGTGGCTCAAAGGTAATGGGAAGCTTGGATCTTTTTTACACTGTATAGGGCCTATACACAGTGGGGTATTTCAGGACAACTTTAGTGGTGTAGTACAGTATAATATTTAATTTTTCTTTGTGATTTATGCAAAGAGTTTGTCAAGATAATATATAAACTTTTCATTTTAAGCTCCATAAGTTTGTCTCTACAATAATACCTTACTGATTCACAGGTACGAGTGATTACTGACCCTAATGAATTTTATAGAGTACTTCTCTCCAGGGCCAGTAGTGCATCACGTCGAATAAGTTTGTCTTCACTCTACCTTGGGACTGAAAAACTTGAGAAAGACTTTGTGAGTAGCAACTCAATTTTATTTGTCACTCGGATGTTCTAATTAGCTCTCTTGTTATATGTTAGTTAAGCAATAGTGGAGTTTATACCCCATAGTAGTGATGTCAATTCTCAAAATACTAATGATTTGAGATTAAACTACTAGTGTATTCTTGAATTTCTTTCCTTGTTCAGTGTTATACATTTTACAGATACAGTAATTAGATGGCTTTGATGTCTTTTAATAATATTATAGTAACTCAGATTTGAAGGAGCTAAGAAAGTAGACCCAGCAAGAAAGGGTAGAAGTGTTTTCTGTGGGGAGCCCCTACAGTTCCCTAGAGCTTACCGAGCTGATATGTATGTATTAGATCGTGGCATCAGTCGATTGGAGTTCTAGCCTACCGGGAACCATGAGCCAGAACCTGACCTCCCTCAGAGAGGCACGAGGAGCAATGGCCTATGGAGACCCCCATGTATTTGGAAGCATTCCATGTCTGTCATAGACTGGGGGTATGGCACCCAGAAAGGTAGATGTAACAAAACAAACCCCACATGGTAAAAATCACTACTAAAACTCCAACAGATAGGCACAACTCCCAGACTAAAACAAGCAAATGTCACTAATGCTGTCGTGCCGATCGGCCATGCAGCCTTTCCCCCTGCACTGGCTGCTACAGCATTTAGTTCCTCGGATGATGTTGACTGTGGCGGTCGTCAACTCTGATCTGACTCTTGAAGTTCTGTGTCTTGTGGTGTATTTCTGCTGTGTGTGGTGCACAGGCCAGGAGTAATTCATCAGTACTGGGGCTGCATGCACTTAGGGCCACCTTCCCTAAGTGCCCTGTAAATACTGCCCTTGTGTTTTGGGGTTATCTTTCACAGGGCATTCGGAACCGCTTCCGTAGGGGTCTTTTGCTGCCTCAGCAATTTCCCGCCCTTGAGGCCAGCTGGGGTTTTTATTGCCACTGTTTGGCCTTGGGTAGGAAGTGGTAACGTTGTTGGTAGGGGTGCAAGGTACAGTATTGTGCAGCTCTTCTCCCATTACAGTATTCACAGTGGCCAGTTCTGTTCTCCTGGGGACGTTGTGCTTTCGCGGGGTTTTCTTTTTATTTTTGTTCGTTTTGCCTGGTGGAGGTCTGCCCCCCTTGGTTATCCACCTTCTGTTATTTTGGTGTTCCTCCACTATGCCCCCATGCTTGTACACGTCGTAGGGATGCATCCATAGATCCAAAGAGCCCCAGTGGGTTTTCCAGGGTTTAGGTGTCAGTGAGACTTGGGTGGCTTTGGGGAGACTGCCCCTTCCGGGTCGGTGATGGAGGCATTCGAGCCTGCTCCTTCTACCGAGGCTTCCGGGTTTTATCAGCGAACCCCCGTCTTCTCAGCCTTTCCCCTGGACTCTGCCTTTTCTTTAGGGGCAGAGGGTGTGGAGGACAGTTCTGCCCTGGGTCCTGGTGTAGAGGATCCCAGGGCTGGAAAGTAGTTGACTTGGGGGGGGCCTGGGCCCCGTTTGACCCTGCTTGGGTGTTGGTATCCTTGTTGGGGGATGAGTGTTGTTGCTGGGGGGGAGGGGTTTTCGTACCCTTCCCTGTACGAGTATGATTTGGGTTAGGCTCCTCCCCGGGTTCGGTTCCAGGTTCCTCTGGGTTCTTCGGTTCCTTCCTTCTGGAGGGTTTTGGCTTCTCAAATCCTGCCTAGGGAGGTTTGGGAGGCCATCGGAGGCCATTGCAGCTTACCTCCTGCGAGACCTGGATTACGCCTTGGTGATGGATACGTCGTCTTTTGAGTTCAGTTCGATCTTTTCCTGTTGGGTGCGTTACGAGGTACCAGAGTCATCCTGGTTAGCAGACTCCTTTCTTTTCGTTGGGAGCGTGGCATGGGTTTTGTCGGACCTGAATGCTTGAATGGTGGGAGGCTTCCACTGTGGCACAGGTTTACCTGGGGGCATCTTCCTGTCTATGTGGCGCCCTTTCCCGATTGTAAGGCTTTCGCGGTGAACGCCTTTCAGCAGGACTGGTCGAGGTGGGGGTTACCTGTACCTCTTTCCCCCGGTCCAGCTGTTACTTCGAATCCTGGCTCAGTTGGAGACTTACTAGGAAAGGGTAGTCCTGTTGGCTCGGTGGCCGGCCCAGCCTTGGTTTCAGGCATTGCTTGCTCGGTGTCCGAACCCGCGATGTTGTCTGTGGCTCCGCCTCTTTCAGCAGATCAGCGGCTATCGGTCTGCTGAAAGAGGTGGATCAGCCCGAGTGGCGGCTGCCTCCCAGGTAAGTCCTTCTCATTTTTCTTGGATTAGGTAGCTCCAGGGAGCCATAGGGGCTCCCCACAGAAACCCAGTGTTGAATGTAATGAAATGCCATTACCTGGGTGAACCCCGGAGGCTCCCTGGCACATTCCCTCCCTCCCATCAGCATTATTTCGTGTTGTTTTAATGCTCAGCCTCGGAACTGAATGCTGTAGCGGTTGGGACGGGGCTGAGCGGACGATCGGGGTTACGGCGTTAATGACGTTTGCTTGTTTTAGTTTGGGAGTTTTGCCTATCTGTTGAGATTTTAGTAGCAATTTTTACCATGTGGAGTTTGTTTTGTTACACCTACCTTTCTGGGTGCCTGACTCCAGTCGATGGCAGACATGAAATGCTTCCAAATAAATGGGGGTTTCCATAGGCCATTGCTCCTTGTGCCTTTCTGAGGGGGCCAGGTTCTGGCTCGTGGTACCCGGTAGGCAAGAACTCCAATCAACTGATGCCACGATCTAAAAGATATATACCAGCCTGGTAAGCTCCGGGGCTCATGCAGAAAATGGTGTTTCATTACATTCATTGCTGGTTTTTTATTCAAGTTTTGAAGATCTACAAGTTGCTCTGAAAACTGTTAATAGGTATATTAGCCTCTAATTTTTTTTTTTTTTTTTTTCAAGTACAGTATAGGTGCCCTGTGCTTGACATAGAAGCAAAAAACTAAAGTAAAAGTAGCCAGACATGCATGGCTTGAGATTCTCCAACCACTTGATGTGGATGGTAGAGCGACGGTCTAGTTTCATGCAAGTCAGCGTTCGATCCCCGACCGTCCAAGTGATTGGGCACCATTCCTCCCAAATCCTTACCTTGATCCCTTCCAAGTGCTATATAGTCGTAATGGCTTTTTACTTTCTCCAGATAGTTCCCTTCCCTTGGCTCGAGTCTTCTTCCTTGAAATGCCAATACTAGTACAGTGGGGCCTCGACTTACAAATTTAATCCTTTCCCAGAGACTGGTCATAAGTTGAAATGAATTTTCCCTTAAGAAATAATGTAAATTGAATTAATCCGTTCCACTCCTCCAAGAATATTAACTTATTAATACATTTTATACCAAATACCAGTCATTTTGGACTACAATTCATTATGTATATCTTACCTTTATTGAGGACTCTTGTTGGTGTATGGAAGACAGTGAGGAGATGGGTAGGAGGAGGAGAGGTGTTATTGTTTGGAAGGGGAGAACCCCTTCCATTATATCATCATGCAGTGATGACTTCTCTGGGGTACTCTCTCTTCTACGTTTTGCAGGCATACCACTAGGACCTGGTTGTGGGTCACTGCTTGTTTGTCTTACTAAGAATCTGTCTAAAGACACTTGTTTTTCCCTACATTTTAACACTTGTCTGTTGCGAGACATCACATTGTCATTTAAATGGTCAGTGCAATGGCCTGCTACAGCTTTAATTTGGGTGAGTTTTTTCAACAAAACTTTGCAGTTCTATCCATACTTCACACATTTTCTTAATGAGGAGGGAACATCCTCTAATGCCTCTACTCACAACTATTTTCTTAGGTTGAACCTTTCCACCGACTTTCTTGGTACCTATGGCGTGATATACTGTATAATAATTACTATTATGTTCAAAAAACAAAAAAAGCACAAAAACAATTAAATTCTTTACAAGCGTGATTGTCACTAAGCGGGGCAGCTCTGGTAAACTGAGGTGGGGGTCACCCATGCCACCAGGAATCACTTGCTCAGTTGACCCAAACGTGTATCAACAAAGTCGTAAGTGGAGTCGCATTTTTCGACAAAATTGTGGTCGTAACTCAAAAAATTCGTAAGTAGGGGCAGTCATAAGTCGATGTGACACTGTATATGCTTAGCTACGCTTGAATTGAGACTTATTTGTTGTCATTTGTAACCCAAATGCTTTTTCCCACTCTACTCCAGTGTATATTTTACATATCTATATATTTTCTTTGTTTTATAATATATATTTTTACAGATATTGGCCATGGATAATCGTGCTTCTATTTGTAAGAACCTTCGTGTGCACTGGCTCTTAGATTATACTAGAGGCTCACGTGGTGACTTCAATTCTAGGAAGATGCTGCAACCTCTTATCTGCAAATACCCAAAAACATTCACAGTGAGTGCAATTACATTCAACAGAAATTAATGTACAGAAGTCACTGTACAGGATTAATTTTTGTTTCAAGCAATAAATTGTGTTCTTCTGGTATGTGGATATTTTGCTATAAAATTGATCTTACTGTATTAAATTTTCTAATACAGTACCTTTTAAAAAAGCAAGATTTTAGTTAATAATTCCTTATTTAGATGTAGCAATTGTTAAACAGGTTTTCATTTTTTGATGTACTTCCCCAATATTTCTGAGCTATTACTCTTAGTTGTTCTCAAAGGTAAGTTTCCACTCTCATGATAAACAATTATGCCATGAGGCAGCATGACATTCTGGTACTGGCACCCTAAGAACTTTTCAAGCAGCCCCTGTTAGTGTCATCTTGGGATTAGGAAGGCTTTAAAAATACCATCTGACTGGAATTCAGTGAGGAGCTAAATGGGGGAACCTTTTTGTGTGTATTATACCAACACCTGGTTGTGGCTAGGGTGGGTTGCAGACTGCTTGTTACTTAACTGTCTGATACTCTTGGCAGTTTGATGCCAGTAAAGATTTGCTAGTGTTTTAAGTTTCTTGATTTGGGCCTTATGTAAAATGCCATTTAGCTACATATTTTTGTGTTTTCCTTGTTACCATTATGACCATGCAAGGACCACTTTGAAAGGTCCCTGCAGTGCTGGTATGGGAATGTTGCCCTGTCCAACTGCCTGATGCATTTCCTACTTAATGGAATGGAAATTTCCCATACGAAGTAACCTAGGACCACCCGAGAGAGGCGCTCTCCATGTGCATTCCAGACGTAATTTATTGTTGTCATATATTAGATTGAAAAATAATAGAGCATTTTGTAGTATTGTTTTACATATGTAGTATTATATAACATCTGTTTCTACAGGTGTCACTTTATCACACTCCGGACCTACGTGGGTTTCTAAAATGGATAATACCACAGCGCTGGAATGAAACAATTGGGCTTCAGCATATGAAGCTCTATGTTTTTGATGATTCTCTTCTTATATCTGGGTAAGAAAGTTGGTAAAGTATCTAAAATGAAATCATTAGGGATTGTTGTAGTATTGGATTCGTTTGTTTATTTCTGACATTTCTTTTATGTATGTATGGTAAAGAGTAGTCCTCATATCTTTATCATAATTCAGTTGTTTATTCAATTATGATTTGTTTTGTAACTCTGTTTCGTTTCTCACATGATGGTTTTTTAGTTTAAATGTGTCTTTAAACTCACTTTGCTCCTCCAGTACACCATATCATATTATTGTATTAGTTTCTGTGACAGTTGCCTATGTCTTAACTTGTGGAATGACATTTGTCCATTAAAAAATTTTCACCTTCTACTTCATCTGTATATATTACTGTATAAATACTACTGCTGTAATTTAAATTATTTCATTCCCTTACACATTAAACAATTAAGAATTATTAATTCTGCATATTATTTTAGATTTAATATGCCAAGACACATATTTTTGTTAATAATAATAGAATTATGAAATTGCTTACTTGTACAGTGGTACCTTGGTTTACAAATGTAATCCATTCCAAGAGATGGGTCATAATTCGAAAATTCGTAACCCGAAATGAATTTTCCCATGAGAATTAATGTAAATTGATTTAATCCGTTCCACACTCCGAAAAATATTAACTTCAAAATACATTTCATACATAGTACACTCACATATTTTGTACTATAACATGTACAAGTTATTGCTTGCTTTTGTTGGTAGCTTGTTGGCATATGGAAGATGGTGAGGAAGGGGGGGGGGCAGGAGGAGGAGAGGTGTTACTGTTTGGAAGGGGAGGCCCCTTCCATTATAACTTTATGCAGTGATGACTTCTCTGGAGTACACTTTCTCCTATGTTTTGCCTGCATACCACTAGGACCTTTGTGGCTCACTGCTTGTTTTTCTCATTAAGAACCTTTCCATAGAGATTTGTTTTTCTCTATGTTTTAACATTTGTCTGTAGTTAGATATCAGTGTCATTGAAAAGGTTAAGGCAATGGCCTCCTACAGCTTGATTTGGGCGAGTCATTTCAACACAACTTTGCATTTCTTCCCGTACTGCACACTACTTCTTAAGCGTTGAGGAAGGAACATAATGTACTGCCTCCTTCCCCCTGAAGAAATTTCCTTAGCTGTCTCTTGTTGCTGCTCCTTGTGAAGGGCTAGGAGTTCTTTGGTGGTCGGTTCTTTGCTGTGTTCCTCCACCAACTCTCAACACTATGAATGCCACTTCTTTTTTTTTAATAAGATCTTCTTGTAATAGCCTTGCTTTTTCTCAAATGATGGCCTCTGAAATGCTCTCATCCACTAATTCCTTCTTGTGTATCCAAATTAATAATAACTTTTCAACATCCTCAAGTGTTTGTGTTCTTTGTTTTGTGATTATTGATATGCCTTTTGCCACTTAAGCACTCATAATGCCCTTTTTCTTAGCAAGTACTGAAGATATTGACGACATAGATTTGTTGTACTGCCTAGCTAGATCAACAACCCGCACACAATCTTCATGTTTACAAATGATCTCTTGTTTTCCTCTATGGCATCTCGCGTGTTTTCTTAGGTTGAACCTTACCACTGACCTTCTTGGGGCCCATGGCGTGATATAATAATAATTACTTTTATGTTCAAAAAACAAAAAACACAAAAACGATGAAATTCTTTACAAGAAATTCAGCGTGATCGTCACTAAGCGGGCGATCTGGTAAACTGAAGCGGGATCACTTGTGCCACCAGGAATAATGCACTTGGTCGACCCATATGTGTATCAACAAAGTCGCAAGTCACGGCAAAGGTCATAACCCGACTCAAATTTTTTGACAAAATTGGGGTCATAACCCAAAAAATTTGTAAGTAGAGGCATTCATAAATTGAGGTTCCACTGTATTTGAAATGTAGCTATTTGTTTGTTTAATTGTAACTTATTATATAATTTCAGGGCTAATCTGAGTAATGACTACTTCACCAACCGGCAGGACAGGTACTTTCTGTTCGATGATTGTCCTGATCTTGCAGATTTCTATCATAAAATCATTGGCACAGTCAGCAAGTTCTCACTGCAGTTGCAAATGGATAATACTACTTCAGTTCTTTCAGAGACACAAGTGCACCCATTCTTGGTAGGTTATGTTTGAAAATTTTATGCTTTATGTAAAGATGGTACTGTATTAGATTGGTTAGCTATAAATCGGATATGAAACTGCAAGGCCAAGAAAATTTCATTACTAAAGGAAAATATATAGCCCTGTGATTTTTATCTTTTCCCATAATTGCATAACATATATGATCCCTTCCAAATTGCAATAATGAAAAGTATTTAGGGTTTTCCCCCCATGTTCTCAAAGTCAATTCATTCTAGTTTGACTTCCCCAACAAGCTCTTTTGCAGCTTTTTGATTAAACCTTTCTCTTGCTTCCATTTCTGTTAGGAGGGGCGGGAGTTTGATTATTCCTTTTAGCTAGCCATATCTTGAATAGTTTTATTATGAACATTGGCATACTTACATATATATGGTGATATAATATTTTAATTTAGTTTTGCGGTGTTACTATAGATTATGTAGAAAGTTTGCGTGTAATTAAATCAAATCAATTTTCCTCTGTAGTCTTTGGCAATGTAAATGCAGTAATCATCAAGTGCTGGATCTGATATCTCTCTAATTTGTATTTACAGAGTATGAATGTGTAGGTATTCAGGTGGTGGTATACGAATGGTTGTTGGCCTTAAAGGTATCAAAGATCATGCTATGCAGGAGCTACATTACCAGTAATTGGTTGATGAGAGAAGTTGAGGCTAGTAGTTATAGCATTAGAGTAAATCAATAGAATGCTGGAAGGGCTTCTATTGGTCTTACCATAATATCAAGAAGTGATACGGTACTTAAGTTTAAGAGTGTGTTTGTGTGTGAGGAAACCTTGTGAAGATGCAAATTAAACCAGTAAAGTGAGTTGCACCTCAGCAAGAGAAATTTGAATGTGCATTGTGGATGCAAACATTAGAGGAAGATATATAGGCTAATTATGAGTGTATAAACTATGGTGTATTCTGAGATATAATATGTTTGGATCATGATATTTTGAGAATATTGGTTATGATTAGTCTAGTAAAATTGTGTAAGAAATTTAGCAACATGGAGAAAGCCAAGTATACTGTACTGTATGTTTCTTTTTTCTCTCTCCCATTTGGCTTTGAATTTATTGTATTACATTTTTCAGGGTGATTATAATAAATACTGTTCAGCTATGAAAGTGGCCTTACAGAAAGTTTGGACTCAAGAGTGCGGTAAAACGTCAGTCAGATTGCTTCAGGCTTCAAAACGTCTTGCAGAGAAGGATTTTAATAAATCAGAGGAATTTTCAGGAGACTCTAAATTGGACCAAAACATGGACACTCTAGTGTTTCCAACTTTACAAATGAGACCTTTTAATATTATGAATGATAGTGTGATAACGAAAAAATTCTTAGCCACTGCTGAGAGCAATTCGAGGATTAAGTTAGCATCTGGGTACTTTAACTTGACAGAAGAATACATGCAGTGCATCCTCCAGCAGTCTTTAGCTTCCTGCAGTATTCTCATGGCTCATCCCAAGGTAAGTTTTATATATATAGAGCATTTACTCTACTTTATAATCAATTTTATATATATATATATATATATATATATATATATATATATATATATATATATATATATATATATATAAATAATATCACGAAGGAAGGATTAAGACAGGAATTTCCTCAAGTACTTTTGTTCGTATTTAATAATACATCTTCAGAAGAGAGATCCTTCTGAAGATGTATTATTAAATACGAAAGTCCTTAAGGAATAAGGAAATTCCTGTCTTAATCCTTCCTTCGTGGTCTGACATTGTTCATCACGTGTTAATTTCTTCATGATTTACACACACATGTAAGCATGTTTAACAACATGTATGTATTTTCCATGTTACATTAGCAACTTTGGTTCATTGAACATTGTGAAAAATGTCTTTATAATAATACCCTTAAAAAATAACTTGAGTATGGTTCCACAATTCCATATGTCTGAAGTAAAATGGGTTTAATATTAGTTTAAAATAAAGTTAGTACATTATAAAGATTTTTTAAATCTTTGTTGAGGCTTTACATTGGCATACTTACATATATAAGTGTACCGCATAGTATACATAAGAATACTGTACAGTAGTAGAGAGATGTTACTTATGTATTTAAGTATTATCAGTAAAAATAATATGGTGATGACATAAATTTACATCAATCTGTCTGGAGGGAGAAGTCCATAGACAAATTTATGAACAGTATTTATGCTCTAATGTTGTAGGACATGATATAAAAAATTTATACAGCTCTACACTTGTTCTGCAGTTTTTGCTTAGATATAAAATGTTGATTGACAAATAATTAACTATACATTCTAGCCTGAACCATCTTTGGGCACATATGCACACCATTTTTATTTTGTTATGGAAAGAGTTTATTTGTAACATTTCTTACAAGTGTTATTATCTACAGGCCAATGGATTCCTTGGGGCTCGTGGGTTTGCTGGGGCTATTCCAGCTGCTTACACTCAAATTGCTAAGTTGTTCTTCGAGAGGTTGCAACATGGAGGCCAGACCAAGCGCATATCTCTGTTCGAGTATCAGAGAACAAATTGGACATTCCATGCTAAAGGACTGTGGTATTATGAGCCCTATCAGTCCTTGCCTTGTCTCACTATGATTGGTTCTCCAAATTTTGGTAAGTGGAGCATTTTCACATTGAATTTTTATTGATTTTATTGTTTATATGTCACAAGTTCTGTAAATATGCTCTGAAGCATGACGGCTTTTTCATCTGTGCAGGGATTATAGACACGAAGTAATGTGAATTGTGTGTATACAGTATATGCATTACTATATATTATCACTAGTTTTAACATGTTTGTTACAAATTGTACAGGTTGGCGATCCGTGAATCGAGATTTAGAAACTCAAGTTATTGTGGCGACCAAAAATTTCGGCCTCCAGAGTGCACTATATCACGAACAAGACCGTTTATTCTGGAATTCTAGTCCAGTGACCAAACAGACCTTTACCCAGCAGGACCGACTAGTTCCTTACTGGGTGCGCCTGGTCATGCCTATTATTAAAGTGTTTTTCTAACAGCCCTCACTTGTTGTCTTATAAAATTTTACATACTGTACATTATTATATTGATGTTGCCCATGAAGGAATATATTAATTTAGATTTTTGTTAAAAAATGTATATAGCTTTTAGTTATTTATAATAAAGGGCTATATTTTACATAAATTTGTATTTTATTTTTCATTTTACATAACACTTTGTAGGATAACGCTTAAAGTATAGTATATAAAGACATAATTTTATATATAGTTCAGGTATATAAAGACAAATTTTATGAGTTTGAATGCTCTATTCATGTTACACAAATACTTTACAGTCAAAGTTATCCAACACAGCTTAATTCTGTTGCAAATCCCCACACACAGTCACAGTAATTAAGAAATGGCCACAAAGCCATCTTGTGGCCTAGTTAATTACATCAGGTAATCAGTCACTTGAACATTGGGTCACATGAAACCTTTCAACATAATTATTGGTGGTATAAGTGCACCAGAAAACCCAGTGTACTTTTTTTCATGTATGTACAATAAATATTGATATGAGAATTATTAGGGTGCTGTTGTTTTTCTACAATAATGAAGGTAAGGTGGTCTGAATCTCCAATTTTAAATGTATCAATAAATATATATATAGGATAAGATGTTTCTCATGGGTTAGTTGGCAATTTCCAAAATACGAAGTCACAATACGAGTTTGTGGTTTTATATCTATTAGTGTTCGTAAGAAGAATGCTAATATTATCATACAGCTTTTCCTTGCCTAAAGGGAGACCACTTTCATTATAGTGCACATTCTTAGTTTCCATAAAAAGATCCTTGGGAAAACTTTAAGAATGCTGAATAAATTAAGCCCAATATAAGGAATATCAAACAGATAGCTTTTACACTTTCCTGAGAAGCATAGATGTGAATATGGCAAGATTATGAAGGGCAATACTAATATTAATATGTAAAGAACAATCTGAATTGTTAAAAATGCAATTAATTATTTGTATTTTAAGTTAATTTCGGGTAAGTTAGAGAAGGAAGAATGAAGTGAGAAGGTGACTAGATGCTATGGGCTAAGATATCAAGCAGTACAGCTGTAGGAGTCCCTGTGATGGCACAGATGCTGCTTGGGGAAACAGACTTCCCAAACGTAGAATCAGACACCAGCTGGTCCTAGAAGAAATAATATAAGAGTATAGGGCACTGGAATTTATTGGCCCCAGGTAGGTGCAAGACATGTAAATGTGAAACACTGAATATACAACAGTTGTACAACTCCCGTGAGAGGGAAGGGGTGTAATGTTGGGCTTTAGCTCAGGGCTACACCTTCGAGTTGCTTAAGGGAGGGAAAGAGTAGCTAAATATGATCTTCACTACCCACATTGTGGACCACACACGATCTGTACTACACACAAACTTAACCACACAAGAGCTGCACCATGCAGGCTCTTCACAACAAGAGAAGTTAGCATCTTATGATCTTCACAACACAAGACCATCACTACACTTGATATTCACTATACACGAACTTCACTAAACACACACGTGTAGAATTGCACTTGATTATATTAATATAGTATATTGACAAGTGTAATATTGCACTTGATTATATTAATAGTGTATTGTATATTGACAAGTGTAGTAGTCATTAGACAGTACATTGACAAGTGTACTAGTCAATAGACAGTTCATTAACAAGTGTATTAATAAAGTATATTGACAAGTGTAATAGTCATTAACAGGTATTGTCAAGTGTAATAGTCGAAATATTGGACAAAACAATTAAAAGTAAATGGGTAGAACACCTGGAGAGAAGTGATATAATATCAGACAGACAGTATGGTTTTCGATCTGGAAGATCCTGTGTAACGAGTTTACTCAGTTTCTATGATCGAGCCACAGAGATTTTACAGGAAAGAGATGGGTTGGCTGCATCTATCTGGACCTAAAAAAGGCTTTCGACAGAGTTCCACATAAGAGGTTGTTCTGGAAACTGAAATATATTGGAGGGGTGACAGGTAAGCTTCTAACATGGATGAAAAATTTTCTGATAGAAAAATGAGGGCATTAATCAGAAGCAATGTATCAGACTGGAGAAATGTCACAAGTGGAGTACCACAGGGTTCAGTTCTTGCACCAGTAATGTTCATTGTCTACATACATAACATTACTAAAACACAAGTTGCAGTCGTTACTATGGAAATGCCTCACCTTCCTAGACATAGTAAGCAGTTGTAATATAGATCACTTCAAGGAAGTGTTATGGTATAAGATGAGGATGCGCCCATACCCTGATACAGCAGCTGTTCAAAACGTATTGAACATGGTCAGTGAACTGCCTGGCAAACAATTTAGTTTGAAAACAAAAGATAAATTCGAGAGCGTTTTGGATGAGAGGGTAATTCTGTCGTCCCCCCAAGCAAATATGGAAGAGGAAGCTGCAACGGGGAAAGCGACACCGACAAAAGCCTTACCAGAGACCAACACCCAGGTACCTCCAACCGCTTCCCGACGACTATGATGAACATGTTAAAATATTATGGTATTTATTTGACGGTGACGTGTGACACAACTAGTCAAAATATACATCCATTAGTGCATGAGAAAACAGCAGTTAAGAGGTTTTAGTGGGTAGAGGACAACGGGATGACTTCATAGCCTTTTGGACAAGTTCAAAATGTGGCAACAGATGGCTAGTCAACTTAAACCCAATACAAATGCAAGATAAGGAAAATTGAGACGTGAGCACAACAAGACCCTTTAAACAATATGCAGTAAAAGGCAGGCGACTCATTGATACAGCAAAAGAAAATTAACTATTTTTTTATCTTAAAGAAGTGGAAGTTTTTACACCTGCCGCCCGTTTACAGTTAGTTCTTTTACCAATATTAACATTTGAATTTATTTACCTGTATGACGTCATGAAGTTCCCGAGAAAAACAATTTTGTTTACTGTTTTGCCGCGGGAAATTAGGGAAAACAAAGAGTTTATGAGTTTCTATAACGGACTTTCATAAGCCTTATTACGCCATTTGTTATTATTTACGTTTGTTGTGAACGCGTGGGGCTGGGAAGGGAGAGGGGAATGCAGCATTAACCTGCCTGGCGTGAGCGGAGACGTGTGGCATCACTCGTTGTCATGGATACCAACCTCCCCAGTCTCCCCTCATCTTCCCAGTCCACCGGAAGCCTCTTGGGGGGGATTCTACATTTCGGTTAATGATTCACTAATTGCGTCGTATTAATTCACAAGCAAACACGACTGTGGGAGTGTGAGAGGGGGGGTGATGCGAGGATAGCTGGTGGGAGTGTTGTGGGAGGAGTGGGAGCGTGGGAGCCACCATCGACCACGGTACTGCACCAAATATACCTCAGTGTGGCGTAGGTGCAGGCAGGAGGCTAACCTGTCGTCGCCACCCGGCCGCCACGCCACAACCACGCCCTCTTGACGCATATCGCGGCCCTGCAGTTGGAGTTTTAATGATGTTCGCTGAGCCTCTGGTGGTCTTTTCTCCCCCCGCCACCGAACAATAAGTCAACAAATTGCTATAAGACCTACCTTGTAGGTCTCAGGTGTTCATCAGGCCAAGTGTGCCTTGCTGAAAGTGCTGGCCTGACTGAGATAAGAGTGAGCTTGTCCTGCGTCACAAGACAGGACTGCGTCGGCCCCCTTCTGCAAGGCGTCTTACCAACACCTTCCATTCCCCTCTGATCGCCTCTCAGGTGAGTGGAGCGCCTGTCAGTCAGCCCCATCCATATAGTCATCTAACATCCCAGTAAAGCTTTGAAATGTTCTCATTTGGCAAAGCAATAAAGTAAATTTGATTAAGCTTGCTTTAGGCTATATCATTGCGTGGAGGAAGAAGCAAGAGCTGGGTGGTGACCCTTCATAGAGTGCCACCTGTTGTTGGGGTGCCAACTCCGGCCCCAGGCGGCGCTGGCGGGCGGCCTCCACACAATACTCCAACGCTACGCGCCTCGCATGTTTGACTTTGTGTTCGTCCGGTCCCCAAAAAACTCTTCGCAGGGATTATCACACTGAACTAACTACTCAAAACATGAATGCTTATCACAAAGAATATCCCCTCCCCCCAATTCATGTGTAATTTGCTACGGAAATTGGATAAAAAACATCCATTCCAAGAAAAAAGTAGAGACGTGGTAGAATGAAAACGGATGAACATACAGGCAGCAGAAGGGTAACACGGGTTCAAACACAGTAACAGAAAGACACTACTGGCCCAAACACTGTAACAGAATGAAACACAGTTCCAAACACAGTAACAGAAAGATACCACTGGCCCAAACACTGTAACAGAATGAAACACAGTTCCAAACACAGTAACAGAAAGATACCACTGGCCCAAACACAGTAACAGAATGAAACACAGTTCCAAACACAGTAACAGAAAGCTACCACTGGCCCAAACACAGTAACAGAATGAAACACAGTTCCAAACACGGTAACATAACACTGATGTACAGTTCTAATTTGTCCGACTCTATCCTTACCGAAGACCCACGAATAGAAAACGGGACATCACTTCAATTTCTGCGAGCCGTTGTGATTTTTTAGTACAGTAGTTTTTGGTCTGAAGGGAATTTAATACGTCAAAATGCAATGTACTACTATTGGAGAGGACGGGTTGACCACAGACCTCTTCTTCTTCCTCCTCCTTCTCCTCTTCTCCGTTTTCAACGCAGATGGTGCAGGTGATAAGAGGAACACTGTTGACATGCTGATACTTGACTTATTATTATTAACATCTTTATTGACAAAATTAATTACTCTTACTGCATCTCGTTCGCTACACTCTTAGTTATACTAGTAATAACAGTACTACTGGTAGCTTAGTAGTAATTGTAATAGCAATAGTAATGATAGTTCAAGTTCAAGTAGGTTTATTGAGGTAATGAAATACATCTCAGAAAGGATAGAGTAGCTTAGGCTATTTCTACCCTCGTTGTAATGATTCTAATAACAGCTTTCATTTAGACTTAGAAGCTTCATTCTCAATTGAATCATATAAATGTTTACAAGTGTAGCTGAAGTAGAAGTGTTTACAGTCGTAGTAAACTAACAGTTTACAGTTAGAGTGTTGAGACTTATATTAACGAAGCCTATAGAATAAAATATGAATGGTGACTCACAGACGCTAAAAATAATAAGAATTGATGGCAATTTGAACAGTCTATGAATATCAAGAAACACAAATACATTAAATTATATTTGTAAGACTTAGTTTGACAAGGAAGTTTCTTTTAAAACATGAAATTATTACAACTTACGAAGATAATATGTATATAGATTAATCAAATTAAAATCTATTATTCGCAAAAGATTGATAAAACATTCATAATAGATTTAGTTTGCACAAAAACCTATTAATTTTCACACACAAAAAAAGTCATAAAAAAGAGCTTAATACGTAATCTTTATAATTATATAACGTATAATAAAAATGCCAACGGTAACAATAGAAGCATGTATAGGGCATGAATAATACAGCATTATGAACAACAGATTCACAAATAACTCACAGCTGATGCCGAGTGAACTTTTCTGGAGCTGTGCTTCGTTTACCTCCTTTGTTTGATTTTATTTATATATATACAAGAAGGTACATTGGGATTGTGAGGATACATAGTATAGTAATTACAATCTTGTAAAGTTACTAGTACGCGCAGCGTTTCGGGCAGGTAAATTTGCGTCTCTCTGAACGCTCCATTGACGTATTGCAAATACTAAGAGCAATGCCAGTTCAACGTCGAACCAACACCCGTGTTGAATATTGTGCCCGGTGAGCCAACATCATCAACATTTGCAGAGGCTCGTCTGGATTACGTTACTCTTGAACACTGATCATGTAATAGGTTTCGAAACTATTTAAATTGTCAAGAAGCAGTTTATTTGTGACAATAGTTTCCTATTAATGGGTTTTCCAATGGTTGGGTGGCCTCTAAGTCTAATCGAGGTCCCTTTAAACCAACTGCAGTACTGTTCTTCCCCATTATGCAATCCACGACAGTCGAATAACTCCAGGGTGCTTACATACTGCTAGGCGATCAGAAGCACCAGGAAAAATAAACTTGCCCAAACGCTTCTATCCTGTCGCCGGAATAGAACCCGGAACCTTTTCGGCCGGGACACGACTGAGGAACAGATACCCATCAGGGGGGAGGGTTAATCCCAGCTACCCTTCCAAGTTTAATACTACCCGGAAGAGCTGCTAGATCCATATTCGTAAGTTCTATTCTATTACAAAGTTTGAATCGCCAGCGATAAGCGAACGCATGAAAAAAAAGAGAGCTTACTGTGATTATTTTATGCAAAATTCCTTTCAAACAACAAAAATATATTCTTTTGTATATTATTTCTTATACAAGGAGAGCGAGGATGAACTTCTAAGATCCGTCTTGAACATTTCCTCCATGCACAAATGACCTTACCAACGTCAGCCTCTTGAAGGGTTCTCAGTTCTCAGTCGTGCAGTTGAGACATTTTTAAACAATGTTTTCTTTCGACCCGGTTTCAAGATGACCAGATTCACTCACGATGGCATCTGTTCCCATTTTCCTGTTTAGTAGCATCGACAAAGCGTACAAATTGGCCCTTTTGTGTATACAATAGTGCTTGTTGCAGTTATGGCAATTGTCGTTCAGACAGTAGTAGTAGTTGTAGTAGAAACGGTAATAGTTGTAGAAGTTGTCGCAGAAACAGTGGTAGCCGTAGCAGTTGTTATTGTAGTAGCTGTAGAAACGATAGCTTTTGTTATTTTAATCAAAATAGTTGTAGTAGTAGTAGCAGTATCACAGTCATTTATTAGTTTTGTATCCATAAAACTATTAATATTACATTAATTCCTAAGTGTTTGAGAGTTACCTGATGTGACACCTGTTGCTTGTGTTATGATTATTGTTGAACCTTTTGCCGGCGCGCGCGTTTGTTGTGGTGTGGTCGTGCGGCGGCTGGCGGGCAGGATGGGGGACGATGGCGGCTCTGACTGGGACTACAACATCACCGAGGTGGAGTCCTTCAACGCCACCCACGAGGACTGGCAGACCTTCGTCAACGCCACCTTCCTCGGTATGTTGTGCTGCTCTTATGGTTGCACATTCCCCCATCTGATTTAGCCCCCTTTTCCGTTTGTATTATATATCTTCGTGTTGTTTATATATACACGCTCACACCTCTTTTTTTGCGCTGCAAATATATGGACACATGTGGTTAATTATCGTTGTTTACAGCGAGATAGAGACATAAGAAGTGTTTTTTATTTCTCCGTGGCAGGGGCGCTTTTCTCCTGCGACAAGTGGACGCAGCCCCAGCACCTCCTCTTCCAGTTGGCCAACGGTTGCTTCTTCGTCAGCTACTTGGCTCCATCCCAGCGTAAGGGGCTGCTCTTCATGCACTTCGTTCTCATCCTGGGTATGTCTCTGCGTCTCTTACTCGGACTCTCTCTCTTCTTATATGTATACTCGTCATTCCCCCCCTTTTGACCTGTGTATCAGTTTGTGCGTGCTTCACTGATGGTGAAACAAGAACGCCGTTTCCTGACTTCGTTGTAACTCTCAAGGACGTGTGGGTTTCAGAGGATAACTAGTGGGTTCTGTGGGTTGAGAAAACGCCAAAAAGTTATCATTTGCTGGGTTTTCCTGTGCTCTACTGCACGTGGGTGTGATGTCAGGGGGAAAGATTACCTTTACTCTACGCGAGTGTCATTGCAGGATTTCTGCTGTACTCGACGTGGGCATGGAACGTGATCTGTGCGCCAGACGTCTTCTCCTGGAACTTCACCTTCATGCTGCTCAACATGGGGCAGACGCTCTACATTATCTACCAGATGCGTCCTGTCAAGGTCAACAAGGAGCTGGAGGCGATGTATGAGGCTCTCTTCCAGCCTCTCAACGTAAGCTCTGCAGTACTTCCATAGTCCTTGTGTTATACACTTTATACACATTGTATATTTTAGACCCGTTTAAGCGGAGAAGCAGATGTTTCTTACATGCACAGGTAACAAATTGACAGGTGTAACTAATAGCGAACAGGTGTGTGGTGGTGATTGCAGGAAATGAACATGTGATATTCTTAGTCAACAATATGGCCCGTCTCGCAGTGTTATTGAGTAGCTCCTGTGTGTGTAAACAACTGACTGGCAGTTATACAACAATACCTTCCAGGTGGACAACCAGATTATCTTGCAGACAGACAAGAAGGTAAGTGGGTTCTCTTACGACTGTTGATAAGCAACAAACGACTGTTGCTTGTGGCGGATGTGTAAAGAGGTGTTTGTGTGTGTGCAGGTGCCGCGGCTGCTGTTCAAGAGGCTGGTGTCGGTGGAGTACGCCCAGGTCATGTCCCTCCACGCGGGGGAGGCCTACGCCATGCAGAACCTCACCCGCACGGACAGACTAGGCCTCCTTCTCTCCGGAAAGGTCAGTTCTCATCGGGTTGGCTTGCATCTTGACCTTTGACCCTTACGGGGCTTATATCAATACTGTCTTGTAACTTCCAAGGAGTTTATTGCTTTTTTATAAGATACCGTTGTGTGAGGTTTGAATATATTTCAAGATAATTTATGTGGGACGACGGAGCGTCTCTGGCTGACTTGTGAGGAGACCCAGAACATTTTTAATGTCTTCTCTAAAGGATATTGGTAAATTTTTTATGGTTGATTCGTAGTTCTGTTTTTAAGGTTAGTTGTGGTGGATCGTGGTGTTCCATGTTTACATCAACAACCACCATCACAACACCACCATCACAACACCACCATAACCCCTTCTCCCTCGCAGGTGAACGTGATGGCGGACAACCAGTTCCTTCACTCCATCACCAACATGCAGTTCCTCGACTCGCCCGAGTTCGAGTCGTCAAGAGCGTCGCTTGAGGACAAGTTTAAGGTGGGTATTATTTCAGTGTCACCAAAAGATCTGTCGCAGGTCTACCGAAGAGAACTTAAATGTCGCTGGAGGTCAGCCAGAGGTCACCTGAAGCACATTCGAAGGTCATTGAATTCACACAAAGGGTTACTTTGAGGTGCTTCCGGGGCTTAGCGTCCCCGCGGCCCGGTTGTCGACCAGGCCTCCACTCGATCAACTGCACGGCATCCAAAGTTCTGGTGACGCCGATGTCACCAGATAAATCCTCGATCCTCAAATGGGAAGAAAGCCGCACCGTGATCTATTTTCGTTTACTCCGGGGTGACCCAAATATTTTATTTATTTATTTATTTATTTATGTATTTATTTATATACTGTATCCAAGAGTTGTTAGAGTGTTGTAGAGCCAGCAGCACGCGTAGCGTACCGGGCAGGTCCTTTATCCTAATGTTCCCTGGAACACCACCCGCCAAACAGTTTAACAACCAAGTATCCATTTTACTGTTGGGTAAACAGAGGTTACAGTTAAGGATTGGCGCCCAGTCAAACTTCCCCGGCCAGGATACGAACCCAGGACAAAGCGCTCGCGAAACGCCAGGCGAGCGTCTTACCACTACACCACGGAGACTGTTTGTCTCTCAAGTCACTCAAAGGTTACTCTGATGCCATCTGGAGGGCACTCGAAGACTGCCTACAGTCATTAGGAAATGAAATGACCCCGAAGGTCATTTGGAAATCTTTCATGAGGTCAATAGGCTAATTAATTATAAACTTAAGTCATTCTATGTGATTTTACCAATATTATACTGGCATTTCTTTGCAAGGACCAGAAGAATATCAGTTAATGGTCTAAACTGTAGACTTTTTGCACATTTGTGTATGTGTGTGTCTGTGTGCCTCCACTTTTACCTATGTTTATATCTCTAATTAAAACTGTACCTGAACCTGTACTGACATCACCGCCGCCCCTACATATAACTGTGCCAGTCACATACTGAAACGCGGCATTGTGACACCGTAGACTTTCAGAACAGCCCTTCGTGTACATTTGATCATGTCTCGTGCACTTTAAGAGATCCTCATAACGCCTTCAAACCAGCGCTACCTTACTGAGCAGCCGACCCTGCGGGACAACCCATCCTGCCAGATGGGGATCTTTGCATCCTACAGGTAGTTCGCGACACAAACTGCCCTTCACGTAGTCTATGAAGCACTCTATAGTTCCAGAAGCAGCATCCTGCTGCTTCTGGAAACTTTCCTTCTTAAGACTACTCATGGCTCAGTCGATAGAGCTTCGTCCTCACGCGCGTGGGGGCCCCAGTTCGAGTCCCATACAGCCCAGGAGAATGGAAGTAAGGGATAAAGTTGTAATGACAAGAATGGCGGCAATTGTTAAAGAAGGAAAGGAAACCGGAATGGATAGCTAGAACAAGAAAGAGTGACGGAATGGGTAAAGAGAAAGGTAGATAAAGGAAATAAGAGAGAAATGAAAGGATAATGTACGGAGTTTTACGGTCTAGGATGAGTCATAACCAGTTGCATATTAGGCTACTGTAATTTTTCGCAGAACATCAGATACCTTCAATTCTTAACTAATATAAATCCTCCATGCTAATTGTTCCGTCCTGATTCGGCAGTTTTACTGAAGACGAAATAATGGCGTGAACACAGTTGTAATGAGATTATCATTAGGCTGTTTTAATTTGCATAAGAGATTCTCAAGGAACATATCCTCAAAGCCTTACGCAATGTTGGTGCGGAATGTAAATTTACTTGCGGGTCTCAGGAAATAATTATAGCGTAATTAAAGGATGAATAATGTTAGTTGAAATCAGAGGTTGACGGTTACATGTGGAAACCCGAGCGAAAACCGGTAGAGAAGGCGGGAAGGCGAGCAGCGGTGTCAGATGTTTGCATAATTTTAAAATGTGATTTCAGTTTGGGGGAGAAATATTGAGCCAAGTTAGCTCTTGGGTTTATGTTAGTAAGTATTAAATATTGGTGTTTCCCGTAATAGTTGCTAGTGGAATTGCAAGGCAATATTTAGTAATAAAGCTTGTGGAGGCCGACGCTTGAGAAATGTGGCAACAGCCTGCCCGATTAGAGATATTTCACCTGAGAATTTACATAATAATTTGTAGCTCACTAAGGGCCACTTTATTGCACGCCATTACTTGTTGCTACTTCTGTCCCCTTGATTAAATATATAACGTAAATTTAATGACGTCAGGAAGGCCATACAGTTGTAACTAGTAATATTAAAATACTAAATAATTAGAGGACCAGCAACCCGGCCGTGAACAAGAAGTCATGCTCATGTCTAACCTAGTTGGATGTGAGGAGTGAAGAGGGGCGGAGGTTGATGGCATTGAGATTTGACTATCTCACTTTCTGCTTTCTTGTTACATAGTCAGCTAGGCTTCTGTTAATAAGCGCATCATCGCAGTTAAAAGTACATGCCTTCCCCCCACCCCTTGTTCACTGTCATTGTCCCACGATGAATTCAATATTGGTTTTATTATTCATTATTATTCATTATTCATTTTATTATTAGATTATATCTTTTGGGTCCTGATACTCCCGTCTGTCCTGTGTACCGCACCGGGTGCTTACCGGCACAGATGTGGTGAAGGAGTGTACATTCACCATTGTAGTTATGTATAATTAGGTTGAACACCATTGTGCTCCAGTTATTCACTCCTTGTTTTCATCTTGTTCACAATCATTTACCAGAGACAGACCGTGATTACTTTGCTAATTATTCAGAAAATATCTGAATGTGGGCTGGCCCGTTGAATTGACACGTTCACATCAGTCATTAATGCGCTAATTCCTATACTTTCCCCAATATATATCTCCCTCCATCTCGTATCTTCTCTCCATCTCTCTCTATCTTCTCCCCATCTCTCTCTATCTCCCTCCATCCCTCTACCTCTCTCTGTCTCCCTCCATTCTTCTATCTCTCTCCTTCCCATCCTCACCTTTAGATGTCGGGTAAATAATTAGTTCGGAGCCTACTGAAGCGTCCAGTCGGGCGCCATTGTCCCACAGAGATGTCTCAGTGTGGTGGAGACGTGTATCTCAGTGTAGCATAAGTAGACTTTTCCCATAATACCACACTAAACCTCTTTAACAGTAGTCAGATTCCTTTCTCTTCACGTGAGATGCATTAAATAATTTAGTACTACCTACAACCAGGCCACACCCCTCTCTATCACTAGGCCACACCCCTCTCTATCACTAGGCCACACCCTTCTAGCACCAGGCCACACCCCTCTAGCACTAGGCCACACCCCCTCTAACAACAGGCCACACCCTCTCTATCAACAGGCCACACCCCTCTATCACCAGGCCACACCCCTCTATCACCAGGCCACACCCCTCTAACAGCAGGCCACACCCTCGACAGGTGTCAATCATCGCAGCGACGTCGTGCCGGTACGTGTTCTGGCAGCGGACGAGCCTGGAGTACCTGTTTGTGAAGGAGTCCTACCTGGCCACCGTCCTCTCCACCATCATCGCCAGAGACATCACCACCAAGCTCTATAACATGAACCAGAAGGTGGGTCTCTCTCTCTCTCTCTCTCTCTCTCTCTCTCTCTCTCTCTCTCTCTCTCTCTCTCTCTCTCTCTCTCTCTCTCTCTCTCTCTCTCTCTCTCTCTCTCTCTCTCTCTCTCTCTCTCTCTCTCTCTCTCTCTCTCTCTCTCTCTCTCTCTCTCTCTCTCTCTCTCTCTCTCTCTCTCTCTCTCTCTCTCTCTCTCTCTCTCTCTCTCTCTCTCTCTCTCTCTCTCACACACACAAAGAAGTTGGAAAATAAACTCTCAAAAAAAAAATTCTTCTACAGTTTTATTTTATCTCACGCTAAGAGTTTCGTTTCGTTAACTCTTGTCAACATTCTCAGCGGCACAATTGGAAGGATTACAAGGTTTCTTACGGCAGGATATGTACCCGAGGATGAGGTGAAGGTGAAGATACAGGCTCACTGTATCTTGTCACTCTCCTCTTGGCATGTCGGCTGGGACAGTATGCTCTGTGTTCCGTCGTGTTCTGAACGTTGGCAGAGTGTAATTTGGTGTTAGTTGTGTATCGATACATTGCTTGATTAGTGTTATCTATAATGCCTCGATCTCCTGACAAGAAAGTGTGGTGCTGGTGGTGATAGCGGTGATGGTGGGACTGTGGATGGTGATGTTGGTGTTACTTACACAGATCGTGACGGAGAAAGGGTCCCACCTGGACATCCGTCTGCCGTCTCTGACCTCCTCGCTGTCGTCGTCCTGTGGCGGCGACGGTTCCCTCCGCTCCCCCGCCCGCTTCTCCCTCAGGCAGGTCCTCCTCTCACACCCACGCCCTTTATCGCATGGCTACACTATCTCATATACCAACACTCTTTCAAGTCTTATCTATAGAGTCCATAAACAAAAGACAAACTGCCTCATTTCTCTATTTGGGAAAAATGTTATTTGTTGGCCTGGAAATGTTTGGATAGAAAATGCATGCAGATGTTGTAGTGTATCTGACAGGTGTTCTAGAGAACACGTGTGTATCCTCAGGTCTACCGGTGGGGGCGGCTTTGGGGTGGGCCATGGGGGTAGCGGGAGCAGCGGGGCTGGCATGGGCTGCACGGGCGGCCTAGCCTCATCCTTCGCGGGCGTGGCCGGCCTAGGCATGGGCGCCAAGCACTCCCGCCTTGGTTACACCATCCTCCCCACCTCCGCCCCACGTAAGTCATCGCCACTGTATATATATATATATATATTTATTTTTCCTTCGCCTAGCAGAATTCGAAGTGTCCACTGATATATAAAATATTATCTATACCTAATGCACAACTATATGATTCAATCTCACTCTCTCTCCCTTCTCTCCCCACAGGACACGAGGGACGTGAGCGGCTGGACTTGACGTACCGAGAGAGCCGGGCCAATTTCCGGGACACGTGCCTGGCCTACCGGGAGAACGGTTACGTTCCGAACGGCCGTCCAGAGATGACGCCGTTGACAGAGCTGCCGTCCACCGATTCTCTTACAGACACTAGCCACGATATACAGACCTGGCTTGAAGACTCCTCGCGATACACCCAGCACTAGCAAGGGTGTCCCTAGGTGCTATGCAGTGTTGCCGGAGTCTGGAGGAAGGGAGTGTATCTTGGATGATTTTGTAAGCTTGAACCAAGGAGTTTACAAAGGACTACACCCTAGATAAGAGGCTGTAGTAGGAACTATTCCAGGGACAAATTGGAGCTCCACCAGAGGACTAGGGACTATTCAAGCGGCTGTGAGTTACTTAAGGGACTAGGGGCTAACGTCTGGGACTGTACCAGGGGCGAGGAGCTATACCAGAAACTATAACATTACTAGGAACCACGCCAGGGAATAGATGCTACGTCAGGGATTACTAGATAGGCTAGGAGTTGTACTAAGAATTTGGAGCTACAACGCGAACTCTAGCATTGCCCCTGGTGAAGCTAAGAGCTATACCAGGGGCTAGTAGCTACATCAAGGGAACTATATAATGAAAAATGTTCAAATCAGTGATGAATAAAGTCTACTTTATAATAGATATCGAAACGTCCAGCTTTTAAAGCTTAATCTTGATATTGAAAGTCTTTAGTCTAGATCTAAAGAAAAAAACAGATTTTATTTATTTATTAATTTATTACGCACACATACACGCACGCAGGATGTGTGTGCCTGTGTTCTATACTGATATAGGACGGATAATGTATACTGTATAATATATGTGTATAATAAAGGCTTAAGGTGTTTCCAAACCGTGATTTTTAATTTCCCAATTCGTTTTTTTTCTCGGGAACTTTTTCAAAACACTTTTGTGTTCAAGAGTTCACTATTATATATTATGGAAGTAAAAGAAAAGAAAAGAGTAGAAAAAGGAAGAGGAATAAGAAGAGGCAGCGGGAGGTGTGGCGTGCAGGGCAGGTGGTGTGGCCTGTAGGGCAGATAGTGTGGCTTGCGGCGCGAGAAGTGTATCCTGCAGAGTGCATGGTGCGGCCTGCAGGGTAGTACTATCTCCAGAGTAGTACGATATCTATTATAAAGTAGTCTACCCTACAGGGTAATAAAGAATATTAATCAGTGTGGCCTGCAGGATAGGTAGCTTGGAGAAGTAACGGATGTTGCGCGGCAGTTTGTGGCATTATTACAAGCTACAGTGGACCAGGCAGCTATACAGGCGAGGATGGCGGGTTGTAAGAACGACGCTCTTACAGACAGCGTCGCTTGAAGTAGATTAAACAGGTTGTGGCGAAATTACAGGCTGGTGAGGTGGGACACTGAAGGCTACACTGTTAAGGTTATATGTCTGGCGGGTAGGCAGTTTGCAGTGCAAAACGGGTCATAGTGAAAGAGGACGGGAGTGGAGAAGGCAGGCAGGTGGTAGCGCCGTACCTTACGTAGCCTGCAGTAGGTCTCCACTAACTAGGGCGTTGGTCCCGCAGCGGGCGCACGCGTCTTCACCGCCACCTTCCTGGAACCAACTGGAAGGTGCGTCGCTGCCTGGACATAACCCTCTCTTCGGAAGACACCTTTGGGCCATGAGTTACATCTGGAGGGGGTTTACTTATGGACGACCCTCGCTAGGAAGTCTTCTAGGAAGGCGGTCGTCCTTTGACCAGGTCCCCTTGAAGAACGACCCCCTTAGCCGGGTTCCTAATTGACCGAGTTCCTCCTTAGAGAAACTTTGACTCGAAGAAGTCCCTAAGAAAAGGAGGAGTCTTCATGGATTACATCCTTCTGGATGGCGATCACCCTTCGGGATCTCTCTTGAAGACGGCTCCCTTTTAAGGAGGTTTCCAGGCATCGACTCTTGGGGTCATAGGAGACGCACACACACGAGGTGGGGTAAGGGGAAGCGAGTGTAATGGGGAAGGAGCACGCTACCAACACCCACACCACAAACACTGTCTACGCCACTGTCATCAGTCTCCACCCTTACCATATTGATCACAACAGGTTTGCTGTGGTAGCCTCCAGAGTACAAATGACTGACAAGCCTCGCTTCGCCAAATCGCTAGCCTCCCAACTTTCACCCAGACACACAATCACTTTTCACCAAAATTAGTTTTGTTAGGAATTACTAATTTTTTTCGTTGATGACATTTTATCATGTAAACATCACTCTATAGCCTATAAAAATATATAGGCTATATTATTTTCCTTATTTGTACTTCTCTCCATTATCTACTTTAGGAAGCATATATCCAGAAAAAAGTTCATTTGCGGAAACTGAACCAATAATGTCCCAAATAACCATTAATATCCCAAAGAGTCATTGATGTCCGTAGTATATAGACATCTGAACAAGGTCCTGAAAAAGAGCATTTGCTACGATAATGCGTATGTCAGGGAGGAGCGCGGTACGACGTGTGGGAGGCGATGGCGGCAGCACCAGCGGTCCCCTCCACCACTGCGGCTTCAGACTATTTTTGACCACCGGTTGAGTGTCGTCGCCTTTCTAATCCTGTAAGCTTAGCTTTTTCAGACTTGTACTACACCCGTTGTTGTGTTTTGATCCAGAGGTGAACACGTGCCGAAAAGTGAGACCGTGGGGATGCGTTATTGACGTAGCGTGCTGGGTTATGCGCGCATCACGGGAGCCTGGAGTGTCAATTGTTATTAGTTAGGCATCAGATTGGACAGACCTGTTGCTATGATGCATTTTTTCCTGACCCGTCAGTCCAGGCCGTTTATCTCGCCTCGTCCCGCTTGTAACATCCGACGGTGCGTTAACTGTACCTCAATAGACAGGTGGTGAGTGCAGCACCTGCAGGTGGTGTCACCTGACAGGCCAGGTGACGTTGGAGTGAGGACTCTTCAGTCAGCCATCACGGGGGCCCAACTCCTGTAATAGTTTCCGGAGGTGTTTAATGTCCATGATGCTCTGGCGGTGAGGCAAGTGTCCTTTGCCGACGGCTGCCTACCGTCACAGGTGGTGGTGAAGCAGCTTGCCTTCCTTCAGCAGCAAGGACGCCAATTAACCTGTCCTCAGGCCAGCCACAAGTCAGGAGGAAACGACGCCACACATCCCTGCGTCGCAACCAGGAGCTGGAGTCCGACCCCGTAATCCTTAACCCAGTAAGGAGGTGAACGTGTCTACGGCTTCGATGAAAATGGAAAACATTACTTCAGAAGCCTACATAATTGTATAAAAATTGAATTTGTGTATCAATAAATGCTCGGATAATCACCCTGTAATGTGAAACAGCAAATAGGCCTGACCTGTTGTGAAATAAAATTATAAGCCGAACGTGTATGGTGAAATAATTTATAGGCCTAACTTGTATTGTGAAATAACTTATAGGTCTAACGTGTTTTGTGAAATAACTTGTAGGCCACGACGTGTATTGTGAAATAACTTACAAGCCTGACGAGTATTTTGAAACAAATATAGGTTAGACCTATATTTAATAGGTCTAACCTGTGTTGTGAAATAGCATGTAGGCCTTAAAAGTGTTGTGAAATAGCATATATGCCTTGGAAGTGTTGTGAAATAATTTGCAGGCATAACTGGCGCTGTCAATCATATATAGCCCTAACCTTCGTTGTGAAACCACACAGGCCTAACTTGTTTTGCGGAAACACCATATAGGCCTAACCTATGTTATGGAACAGAAAATATATGTGATTATCTTTATGCTCTGATGTAAGTGCATTACAGAACTATGATCTAATATATATCTTCCAGGTTGAATCATTTGTATATAGAATGGCTGGGTTGTGGTGTGAAAACAACAGTTGGTACAAAAACCAGTGGTTAAGCGGACTAGAGTGATTGGTGCCACAAACTGGATTATAAGTGCCACAAGCTGGTTAATAAGTGCCACAAGCTGGTTAATCAGTACCACAAACCACTCCATCGGCTTCCACACACATACCATTGACTGGAGAGCCGTATTACTTGATTTCGGCGCAATTGGAAGTCAAAAAGAGGGTAAGAATTAGTAATAATATATATATTTTTTTTTTAGATATATACAAGAGTTGTTACATTCTTGTACAGCCACTAGTACGCGTAGCGTTTCGGGCAGGTCCCTGGAATACGACCCCCCCCCCCCCATGAAGAATCGTTTTTACAACCAAGTACCCATTTTACTGTTGAGTTAAACAAAGGCTACAGTTAAGGATCTGCGCCCAGTAAATCCTCCGGCTAGGATACGAACCCATGACAAAGCGCTCGCGGAACGCCAGGCGAGTATCTTACCACTACACCACGGAAACTGGGAATATGACGCAACAAAATTGAGCATAGTTATATAATAAGACATACATAAGATAATAATTAATGAAACTGCAGAAGGCCTATTGGTCTAAACCAGCCAGCTCCTAGTTATATCCACCCAAACTCAAATATGTTTAACCTACGCTTGAAACAATCTAGCGATCTCACGTCTTTTTTATATTACCCGGTAATTTGTTTCATAAATCAGCCGCCCTATTTCCAAATCAGTATTTTCCGAGGTCTTTCCTAAATCTGAATTTCTCCAATTTCTATGCGTTCTTTCGTGTTCCATTTTATATTCATATATTAGTTTAGTTCATTTATTATGCACCCCATACCCATCCTGCGGGCGGTAGTGGAGTAGATTACAGAGGCACATAAGCCTGTTTCTCAGGGACTGAACCCCACAAAAAGTAATTTATAGCCTCTTGTTTTACTCTTTTATTCATTAATATTCTTCAATCATGTCACCCACCGCTCTTCGTCTTTCTGGCGAATGTCATTTGCTTTTTTTCAATCTGTCTTCATAAGGAAGGTTTCTCCTTCCTGGGGTTCCTATTAATTTCTTCAAGATCAAGATTCCTATTAATTTCTTCAAGATCAGGCAGACTTTTGTACAAGTTTCTCACAGCCTGACAAAGTACAGGAAATCAAAACTCAAGGTCAAGGTACCTGGAGCTAAAAGTATTAAGTGCCTCAATAGAGAGATGATGATTCACATCGTTATTGACAAAATTAATATGCAATTTCGTCAGTATAGATGTTGGTCATCATATCTGTACGCATTCAGGTCAGAATTGATGTCCATTACATAGTACGGAGACCAAAACTGAATTGCATAATTAAAATGGAGGGCAAATAATGGAGGGTAAGATAAAGCCGAAGACGAATATTAAATGTCATACTGCTAACGCTTCAAGAATTAAGTTTCAGTATTCTATTTGTTTTATTTTGTATGTTTTATGCATTGATTTTTTGGCTTAAGATTGCTACTAAACATCTTTTTTGCATCCCTGTTTCACAAATTCAAAATTGCCCAGCTAGTAACTTATATTACCCAGCCTCAAAACCCTGCAATTTTTGTTAGCATTAAACTGCATCTGCCAATCTTTTTGTTCATTTTGAATGCCTATCTAGATCGCCTTGTAGCAGTTTTGTGTCTGAATTTATTTCTCACCCTAATTTTGGTATCGTCTGCAAATTTGAAAATATTGCTTTTTAATCCTGTGTAAATCAGTGAAATAAATAATAAACAAAGAGAGCTCCCAGGACGGAAGCCTGAGGCACAACACTTAAGCGGTTTACCATTCGGACATAACTCCGTTTTATGCTAACTCCGCTTTCTTTGAAGTAACCGAGTCCGAATCCAACTTAGGATAACACCCTCCCGTACCCACACAATACCATATGCCTCTACCTTTATAACGGCTCGCCTAAAAGACAGCCCACCTACCATGTTTAAGTCCCCCAATCTATTGCTCCAAAATAATTTCTAAATCTCTCACAATCTGATTTTCGGAAATCTGACAACCTAGTAGAGTTTAGCAACCAAGCAACCAGGCATTGTAAGCAATAACACCAGACTTAATATTACTATGTCTGGAGACAAAATTGGGGACCAGTGTCGCTGACATGCATGCCTTGTAAATTGCCGGAAAGAATAATCAGGGAAATAATGGAGCGTATGGAGGGGATACACATCGTTAAGGAAAGGCAAGAGGAATTTAGAAAACGGGAAAGTCTTGTCTGACAAACTTGACGGCGTTATATGATAAGGTTTCTAAAAGAAGGCAAGAGAACGAAACCTGGGTAGACTACCTTTCGGCGAGTGTCTACAAAAATTTGATTCTGTTACTCGTCAAACGATACAAGATGGAGGTGATGAGTCACAATAACGTGGCTAAAGTAAGTTGACCAAACCACACTCTAGAAGGTGAAGGGACAACGACGTTTCGGTCTGTCCTGGACCATTCTCATGTCGATTGGACTATTCTCAAACGACTTGAGAATGGTCTAGGACGGACCGAAACGTCGTCGTCCCTTCACCTTCTAGAGTGTGGTCTGGTCAACGATACAATATGGGGATACAAGCTAACTGTGGAAATATGGAGAGAGAGATACGGCAGTACCCGAGGAAGAGAAATCTAAGGGTCGCAGTAAGGGAAGAAATGAAGAGGAGGGCTGACAGGTAGGGGTCTCCGAAAAGTAGGTCCTAGGAATTTTCTTGTTCCAAATTTATGCGAATGACCTAATAGTGAATACTTATTGGCCAATGTCAATGTTTGAAGATAATGCAAAGCTAATGAGAAATATGATCACGGAGCAATACTGCAGACAATTACAAGAAGACCGTGACAAAATCAGAAGTAGGCAAACAAATGGCTGTTAGAGTTCAAACTTTGCAATTGTACAGTATTGAGGATGGGAATTGAAGACAGGAGGCCAGAGGGGGAGAGAGAGGGACTCTCTCCCTCTCTCTCTCTCTCTCTCTCTCTCTCTCTCTCTCTCTCTCTCTCTCTCTCTCTCTCTCTCTCTCTCTCTCTCTCTCTCTCTCTCTCTCTCTCTCTCTCTCTCTCCCCCCCTCTCCCTCTCCCTCTCCCTCTCCCTCTCCCTCCCTCTCCCTCCCTTCCCCTCTTCCCTCCCTGGGCTGTAACAAGTTAGTGTGGGTTAATATACAGTTACCGTGCTCTGAATAGGCTCCGCTAATCGGTGCTTAATATACCACTGATAACAACCTGACGAGAATGTAATTGCTTTAATTGACAGTTAATAGGGCCTAAACAAGATATTAATAGAGCTTTTATAGGGCCTTAATAAGGTAGTTGCCATTGCTTTAATAAGCAGTTAAGAAGTATTAAGCTGTATTCTTGATGCCATAATTGAAAACGCCTTTAAAGATATGGAATCCTTTATATTTGTCTCGTGCGTTGTCTACATATATCTATATCCATCGAAGAGAATGTCTGTCCGACGTAGGGGGGCTAGACTCTAGGGGCTAGGCTCACTCAACTTCTACATATGAAACATGTGTGGTATGGGATAATCATAGGCCAGTCAGTGTCGGCCCATGTGTCATGACTTAGGAAATATCAACATTTTAAACGACCCCCTCCCTCCCTGTGTCTATCAAGAAGTCTGAAATGAAATCATAGGTTGTGGGAAGACTCCCATCCTAAAAGGGGATGATAGGGAGACAGGTGAACAGGACGGGGGAGAGAGAGGAGGAGAAGGCGAGGTGGGAGAGAGAGAGAGAAGGGGGGATTGGGAGAAATGGAGAATGAAAGAGAGGAGGGGGGGGGAGGAAGAGAGATGAGAGAGGGGGGGGATGGGAGAAATAGACCCGGGCAAAGTCGGGTACCCCATCTATTTGTAATATAAATATCTGCATTCACACAGGGGTAAAGTAAAATATAGATCATAGATCATTACAAAATGATTAGAATAGACTTTTGATATAGACGAAATATTGTTAGATACTTTTTAATATTGAAATTTAGAGTTTTGTAATAATAGTTACCATATTTCACATTGGCAATGTTAAAATTGATAAATCTAAATGGGAAAAAGATCTGAGAAATATATATATATATATATATATATATATATATATATATATATATATATATATATATATATATATATATATATATTTATATATATATATATATATATATATATATATATATATATATATATATATATTTATTTATTTATTTATTTATTTATATAACTTATGCTTACATCAGTCCAGCGTTTTCGTTTTATCAGATAATTTAAAAGTTTTCTTAATTCCCATGTTCTCATGCTAAACGAAGCACTCAATAATTTTACACTATGATGCAAAGTGCTATAATTTTAGTTCCATAATAGTTTGGCAACCTCGGGTACCGTTAAATTCGTCCAGGGAAGCTGAGGCCAGTGTTACATCCTCGGGTTATCTTGAGGTTATCTTGAGATGATTTCGGGGCTTTAGTGTCCCCGCGGCCCGGTCCTCGACCAGGCCTCCACCCCCAGGAAGCAGCCCGTGACAGCTGACTAACACCCAGGTACCTATTTTACTGCTAGGTAACAGGGGCATAGGGTGAAAGAAACTCTGCCCATTGTTTCTCGCCGGCGCCTGGGATCGAACCCAGGACCACAGGATCACAAGTCCAGCGTGCTGTCCGCTCCGGCCGACCGGGTACCTAAGTCAACCATGTGAATATATTTAGAACCTTGAGAAACGCTGAATTGAGCGTCCGTCATTTTTCCACCCTCACCGGCCCTTAAATTCAGCCTGAGCACTATTTTCAAAGATGACGCGCAGATGCACGTGGTTGGCCAGTGTTTACAAACACGCGGGAGACCGAAGACGATATTGTTGGCTCACTCATGACACGGCCCAGCTGTGAGGGGAGGCTCGTAGCAACGGCAGCTTATGTAAGATTATATGGAATTCGTGGATTATAGAAGACATGAAGATCTATGACGAGGCTACTTGTTGTGTTGTGAATTATTTCAACTTCATCCAATATTAAAATAATTTGCATCAATCTTTGTTGACAAAAGGCACATTGTATATAAATGTGCTTATCGTGTTCGCTTTTATGTAACCCCGAAATAACACCTTTACTTTTATATTTCCTTAAAATAAAAAGCTGTAAATTCGGTGGGGTATAATTTTTGTCTAAAGTCAGGTATTACGTTTAAAGGAGGTAATAGGTCTATGCATT